CCATTTATTTTACTTAAATCAGTTTATTTTATTGAAGTTAATCTCTTCATTTTACTGAATAATTGATTTGTCTGTGATTTTGAAACTTGTTAGAGAGACTGAGCCAGCACCTAAAGGGCCAGGAGGGCCTTCTTGGGCTTGATGGAAGGTGGTCTCTGCACCAGGCTTCCACAGTGTGGTGGTCTTAATAAGCTATGTTCATGGACTACATGCCATTGAAGTCCAGATGTTATCCCATAAAATACTTTTAACCAAGAGCTTCAAATTCGTGTCAGACTTGTTATTTTCTGTGCTACTGAGAGAACAGAGTTTGACTTGGTTTGGCTGCTTCTTCTGAGCTCTTCCAGACCCTTTCCTTTTTTGATGAAGAGGCCATTGTATTACTTTTGTACACTTTCTGTCCTTCTCTCTTCCTTTCCCTCTCTCTCCCTTTCTTTTGTATTTTTTCCCTGTGCCCTTTTCCCTTTTGTTTACCTCTGTCCCTCCTCCTTCCCTCCCCAGAGTAGGTGACCTTTAAGTTCCCTCACAGCTCTAAATATGTAGCTCCACCATAGCCCTATCTAGCTGGCTTTTCCCCCCTTTCCCTTCCTTTATTCTCCTGATAAGGAATAAATGGATTTGGGGGGTGTATTTTTAATCATCGTTATTATTATTTGTGTTCACAAATATTCAGGGTAATTTCCTAGCGGACACGTATAGAGTTGTGCTCAGTTGGAGAAATGGTATTTAAGAATTAGACAAAACCTAAGCCTAGCATGTGACTCACAGGCATCTCCTTTGTGATGTTTTCTGTAGAATGCATTCAGTAAATACTAAATAAAAATGCAGTGATGCATGCCGATTACTCTAGTTCCACAGGATGGCAGTGTTGTAACATTTTCATGATATAATGAATGATTTACAACAAGGTCAAAGTGAATTTCCTTAAAGTTCACAACTTTCGTAGCAAGCCCCTTTTACCTTGATTTGAATAATGAGAAGAGATAGCCCGGCGTCATGAGTAGCTTCCTCAGGGACTCCAAAGGCTCAGTGAAAAGGAGCCCGGCCAAGGAGTGTTGATGGACTGCTGTTGGGTTCGGCCCTTTGCAACAAGATAGAGAGCTGTAGTGGTATTCACTTCCTGTTGGGTGCATGTGGGAAGAAGGGAAAGTAATATGTCCTTGGGAGCTCCTATAGCAGTTTGTTCTACTCACTTGTGGCTCTTAGCACATGCTGCCTATCGGGGTCATTTATACACATGGCTTCTGTCCTTGGCAGGCCTAGGGCTGGTTTAGCACCTCAGCATTCCTCACTTTACCTACCACACACTAGGCATTCAGTATATATAGGTTGACTCAATGGGATATGCAGATCTTAGGAAAGCTGGGAGGTCCTAAAGAAATGGTTCAATACAATGGACATTTAATACTTTTTAGATGGCAGATGCCATGATAAAAATATGGAGAAAGGTGGGAAGGGGCTAGGTTATGGAGGCTCTGAAAGCCCAGAGGATTTCCTGTTTGACCTTGGAGGCAGTAGGGAGCTTGGGGAGTTGATTGAATGGGGGAAGGGGGTTCAGTTTTGCATTTTTAGGAAGCAGGGTGAGGGATGCAGGATCACAACTCTAGTTGAATTACAAAAAGGATCAAGATGAGGAAGGAAGGAGAGGATAACCAGTGCAAGGGGATGTCCTGGGAACACCACTAAGTGATAGAGGAATTGGAGGTCACAGTGAGGATGAAGGCCAGGCTTTGGGGGGCTACAAGGTAGAGAGAGATGTGGAATGACAACAGATCACAATCAGAAAGAGGGATTTCAGAGTGGTTTTTTTTTTTTTAACGTGGAAGGGAAGGTATGACCATCTCTATATGTAGCTGAAGTGGGGTGGAGAAATAGGTCACAGGATGTGAGTAGGTTGATACTGCAAAGGTGACATCAGCAGGTCTTGGCAACATGTTGAATATGGGGTAGGCCGGGGGGTGATAAGTGAGGTGTCAAGAATGACTCCTAGTTTGAGAGCCTGAAGGACTGGGAGGATGGGAAAGATAATGAATTTTGTTTTGAACATAATGAGTTTAAGATCTCCTAGACATCTAATACAAGATGTTTGAGAGGCAGTTGGAAATATGAGATTAGAGGTCCGCAGAGAAATTGGGGTGGGAAAGGTAGACTTGAGAACCATCTACACAGAGATGGTAATTCAGTCCATGGGAGCCAATGAGATTTCCAAGTGAAGTAGTATAGAAGGAGGAGAGAAGAGGGCCCCAGGACTGAATCCTGCAGGACACCTCCGGATTTGATCTGTCTCTTTCAGAAATCTGGATCCACCAGGGTCTGGCAGATCCAAGAGGTGTAGACAAGTCTATACAATCAGAGGATTTTAGAGCTAAAAGGGATGGGAGTAACCATGTCAGTACTGCACCCTGCCCCCAGCAGCAGACAGTGGCAGTGTCCCCTCCTGATTGCACAGTCCCACACTCATACTAGAAGTCACCTTGTTTCTGGCATGTAGACAACAAACCACCCTAGTTTGTTCAGCTCAGCAGACGTGCTTAGTGTCTGCTGAAGACAGGGTGCCTGCCAAGTGTGCGTTTCTTGGCATGGTTGAGAATCTTCTGCTTTTCATTTGGAACCATCCAGGTACCTCTTCCAGGCATTAGGAAGTTGGTGCCCAAGAAGCCTCCTTAATTCTTGAGAAGGTTCCTTGGTGGCTACAATTGAGGCACAGAAACTTCTTTCCTGCCTTCTGAGCTCTTGGAGGGTTGGGATTTTGCGTGATTTTTCTTTATGTCCCACAGAGCATCAAGGGTGGTAGTGTTTGCCCAGTTTCCCCATTTGCACGGAGGCCCTGTTGGCCAAGACTGCAGCTCTTTCTTTCTGGGACAGGGGCTGACTTTGCTCCAGCCTTGGTCTCTAGACTCCACCATGACGCCTTCCCTACCCTTCCGTTTGAAATTGTCACTGGGAAGCCCTTTCTGACTTCAGTATGCTGTCATGTTACTATTTCAAATCGATTGGACTTGATATACTGGCTGATTATCAATGACATGGAGCCTTTCTTGATCCAGCTGAAAGTAATCTCACCCTTCTCTGAATTAGCCTTCAGTTTCCCAGTTGTAAAAAGACGATCATCTTTGCATTTTGTCACTGGGCTTTGAAGAACATGCTTTGTAAACTTCAGGGGGTGATGACAAATATGGACTTTTATTTTCTTTGTTCTCCTTATTGCACCTGGTAGTACACAGTTGCTTGTGGTTGGACATGGCCTCTTTTTTCCCTTCTGGAGTATCAGCTTCCCGAGATGTGGCATTGGTGGGATTGGGGTTCCTCTTCTTTATGTCCCACAGTTCATCAGCTCTAGTGTTGGAGGGAGGCATTCAATAAATGTTCAGACAAGCAGAATGTATCATTTCTGGAATGGCTGCCTGTGTAGAGCTAATCCCTTATGTGGTTTGTGGATTTTTGTGAATTTAAATCCTAGGCGACTCCTGCCCATCTTTCTAGGCTCATAGGACCATATATTTGGTCCTGTGAGAAATGGTCAGGTCTAAACCCTCATTTTGTGGATGGGAAAATTAAGGAACCGAGAGGATACGTGAATGCTTTGGTCATTTCTTAACCTCAGTATTGGAGTCTTTATGGGCTCATAGTCCGTATCTACCATTGCCAATGGTTTTCTTTTTTTTTCCCCTCCAAGAAACATATTCTTTGCTATGCAATTTGGCTAAAATGAGGATTCAGGTACTCTAGTCTAGTAGCTTCTGATGCTGTTCAGGATAATTCCCTTCATATTTTAAATATGGAGATGAGTTTATTTGCCAAGTGCTTGATGGTGCTGGTATACCTGGCCTGATGTGTGCATAAAAATCCAAGCACCTGTAAAAATGGAATTGAACCCTTGTTTTCCTTCTAAAGCATTTTAATTTGAGAGATGCTTCATCTTCCTTGCAGATGAACCTGAAATTGGTGGCACCTCCTGACTGTTGTAGTAACTAGCGCTTAGTAACCTTGGGGTCAAGCCAAGAGCGCTTTATTATTTTCTCAGATGTAACTGTTTTGTAAGCTCTTCTTTTTATTAATATAGGACACACATGTACTCAGTGCCATGTTGGATTTTTTTAAAAAAATTAATATTTTGTCTTTCCCCCAAATTACCTGTCAAACACAATTTTTAACATTTGTTTTTAAAATTTTTTGAGATACAAATTCTCTTCCTTCCTTCCCGCCTTCCTCTCCCCTGCCTCCCATTAGATGTTTTTAAAAGTGCAGAAATAAAGGTGCTAACTGGAGCTGGCCCGTCTAGCCATTGGGCCGTGTCCTGCAGTGACTTTTGTCTCAAAAATATTAAACACCTTGTTGACGTTCCTCTCCTCAGAAATGATACTGTGCTGATGACTGGCTGTTTAAAGTGATAGAGAGTGTTCTGAGGTTTTGGAAGCGAGCAGCTCTTCATATGGATGTTCCTCTCAGTGAGAAGTGGGTGTAAGACATGCGTGGTTAAGATGGATAATGCTGTAACCTTAAGCTCCTGAAGGACAAGCAGGGCGTGCCCCCTGAGATACAGTGCTCTGCAGCTGTGGACCCCTCAGCATCTGAGATGTTGGTAACGCGAAAGTATGCCTGTTTCTTCCTGTGGGAGAGCTCTGGCCTGTTGAGGTAGAGAGAGGTCAGGTAATCACTGAGTAGCCCAGCAGAGAGGGAACCCAGGCCTCCTGCCTCACAGGACAGCGAACAGTACCCCAGGAATTCAGACCTAAGGGAGCATGCTGGGAAGAAGGCAAAGTATTGGTCAAGAATTTTTTTTTCTTCCCAGACCTGTAACTTCATTGGTACAGGCCAAGAAACTCTGCCAGTGTCTTTTAATAACCGTTTAGCAACGTAAAATAGTGTCATAAAAAGTCCTGTGAACAAACTAAACTCTCAGTGCAGAATTTCAAGACAAAAGTAGAAAAATATGTCTGCGCAAAGTCTGGTGGTGCACGTCAGGTCTAATTTAATTTCTTCCCATTTTGTCTTTGTAGCATATAGCACTTTCTACATTGTGGGTCTAATACTGTCCATGCAGATTCCCTTTGTGGGATTCCAGCCAATCAGGACAAGTGAACACATGGCCGCCGCAGGTATGCACAGGAGGGTCATTTTTCGTCTTAATTGGGGTGGGAGGAAGAGGGGTAAAATTGGTCAATGGGGAAATTACCTGACACCTTTCATCATCGTGGCTCATTTATAAAGGAAAAGCTTCTACAACAAGTAGGCTCCTGTATACGAAGCACCTTTTTAACTTTAGCTCTTTGTGAACTACAATTTGCACGTCTTCACCAGCAACCTAGATGGACCAACCCTTATTTCTTGAATTTGACATGGCACATACGTGTGTGTGTGTGTGTGCACGCGTGTGTATGCGTGCGTGTGTGTATGCGTGCGCGCATGTAAAATTGTGTGCCTATCCTGTATAACAAACAGGAATAAATCCCTGTTGGTTTAACGAAAACAGAGTTCTTTCAGGCAGTTGTTGGTGTATAATGACTAACAAAAATATTTCCCAAGACTGTTGACTGGGAGTTGGGGATTCTAATAATCTGCTTTTTGCTTGTTTTGACTATCTGATTTTTGGTTGTTGCTCAAGTCGGTTGCTACTATAAAATTATTGAATCTAAGACAACCCTTGAGTCAGAAGAAAGAGTCAAAATATCAGGCATTTTCTGGCCACTCTCAAAGTTAGGGCTCTTCCCACTCCCCAGGGTTGCTCTCTGAAACACTGTGATAAGCTCATGTAAATGGTCTTACCTGGGCGTAAAGCAAGGGAGTGTCTGTCTTCACCCAGGGTGGAGAATGAAGCCCCTTCTTATTGTATCTTTCCCACCATCTTAAGCAAACACACTTTCCCACTTAACAAAATTCTAAACCTTACTGTTGTGCAGATTTTTAAAACATGCCCGCATGTGGTCAGGAGCTCTTGTGCTGTTTTCAAAAACACTAGAAGGATGAAAAAAAATACTTCTCCTCTCTTAAACATTACTTTGAAACACAAGAATTCTGTCTGTCATATAGAGCTACCGTTTCTTTTAAAACGCGTGCGAAGTCACCTTCGTTATTGATGTTCTCTTGTACATTAAGTCCAGTTGCATTTTGGACCCTTGACCAATAATTAATATACCACCTTTAAAAAATTTAGAGAAAAAAAAAGCATGGGAAGAAGCTTCCCCCGATGTTTGCCTAGCGCGCACCCAGCATTGGCTTCGTGGCCCCAAACACATTCGGTACAGTGTACTGTTTATTAATTGTTCGATAAACATTTCCACTTTGGGTGGGTTTGGCTATAGCATTTAATTGTAATTTAAATTTTGTGGGTCTCATTAAAAGAAGAATTCTATCAGTATTAAGTGATCTTGTAAACAATATGTCGAGTACCACCCCTCCTCAGCCATAATTTACTAATATTCAACTGGACTGTCACTACCAACTTGGTGGGAAGAATAACTTCTAATCAATTGGCCACATAGTTATTTTGTGACAAATTGTTTTTGTTTATCTACAAACAGAACTGCAAATAAGACCAGCGTTGTTTGTGTGTGATCATAGCTACATTTACTTTGGTACTAATTTTCCCTTTATCTAGATCTTTGACAACCTAGATTTTACAAAATACACAAAATAATTAGGGGAATAACACTCATTTTTTATTCAGTGAGATGCTTTAATTCTAGCTCTTGTTTTATGCAATTTGAGGTATCGATTCTTTAAAAGAATTTATATATCTTTTTTTATTGCCCTGCCCCTTTATTTTAAATCATTCTAGTCAACTTTGTTTATTGCTTTAGCTTCCAGAGCAGGTATTTCCAGTTTAAAAAAAAAAAAAAGGTAATTAATCCAAATATACTATTCCCTTGTTTTATAAACGTTAACCATTTATCAGTCCTTTAGGGTTCTCCAGATTGTCAAAGATCCATCTTATTTTCTACTAAAACAAAGCAAGTCTTAAGGGGCTTTGTTTTCTGATGTACACTTTTTGTAACTAGCATCTCACTGAAGGTTGTAGAGGAGGGAAGCATTTAATGTGGGGAATGGGATTGTTGCATTCAAAGCTTGATTTATCTTGCCTGGTTTTCAACTGATGCTAACGTATATACATCCACAGAGGAGTTTGAGATTAATTTTAGGAGCAAAAGGAATCTGCCTGGCTCTTATAGGATTTTCTGGAGAACTGATTCAGAGTGGTTAGATGAGGCTCTCCTTTTCTCAGCTGGTAGAGCTGGAGTTGTTAACAGATTCCAAAGGCAGTCTTAATTTTGGTCAAAATAAATGTTTGATATATTTTTTTTAAAACCCTAGATAGACTCTGTGAAAAGGTGTTTTCAGATGGGTTTCCTAGAAAGTACTTTAGGAAACTGACTGCTTCATCTTTGGGGTGGTACCAGCACATAAACGTATTTTCCCTTTTCTTTAGGTGTCTTTGCACTGATCCAGGCATACGCCTTCCTCCAGTATCTCAGAGACAGACTGACAAAGCAGGAGTTTCAGACCCTTTTCTTCCTGGGAGTGTCCCTCGCTGCAGGAGCTGTGTTCCTGAGTGTGATCTACTTGACTTATACCGGTGAGTGGCATCAGTGCTGGAAGTGATCTCATGGACCGCATGGTGATACCTTTCCTTGGAAAAGAATCCCGTCTAGGACACGCTCAATAGAAGCTCTCACAGCCTCAGCTCGACTACTGCTGTCCTCTTGTGGACAGCTAGGAGTGCTAGAAGTTTTAGCCGACACGAAACGTCACTGGGAGTCTTTGAAATTGCACCCATTCATTATTCCTAGAACAGAACACTTCTAATACATCTTTCAGGTGACCGTCCCTTCAGATACTGGAAGGAAGCTGTCGTGTCCCGTCCCCAGTGATCTCCTGTACGCTGTAAACTGGAAGGCCTTCAGCACTTGGTGGCCTTCCCAAAATGTGGCTCCCAGAACTAAACACAACATGCCAGATGTAGTCTGTGCAGGCCACTTCTCAGGGACACTAGCCCCTCTGTATTGCTAGAACGTGTTGTTTTGAGGGACTGGGAGGTAGTAGAAAAGATTTTATTTAACACAAGAAAAGTGTTGCTCATGGCTGAGACCTTTCCTACTCTGGGGAAGTGTCCTTCCTTTTCCAGAGAGTGTCCAGTGGTCTTGCCCCCACCCAGTGTTGGGCCGCACTTCCCATGGGGATCTATAGAGAATGGGACACAAAGCTTCCTAAGATGGTGGTCCTAGGGAGGGAGTCACCGATGAGGAAGAGGGGGCGGGGCAGCAAAGAAGGAAAGGTTGAGGAGGGCCCTGAGAGTGAGGGGAAGCACGGCTAGGCTCCTGGCCCTCTTGGATGCCCATCCAGTTTCGCCTTTCAGGCTGTGCAGAGGGTTAATCTGTAGGCCTCCCTGCAGATCCAGCAGAAGTTGGGGTGTCGTATATCCCCTTCTACCTTCTCATGTCAAGGGTCCAGATCCCCCAGACTGGCTCTCCCTCCCTTCACATATGTGTTTGGTGCTGGCCATCTGCAGAGGCCACATTGGGAATGCAACCCCTCTCCCAGTCGGAGCTTCTGTGTCTGTCTGTCTCCTCTTTGGGTTTTCTTGCCCAGGAGCACTTCTCTGTGGCTTCTCTGGTCCTCTTTAACCAATGAGAGGTTAGCTCTATAAAAGGGGAGAAGAAAGCTCTAGGATCCGATTGGAGTCAGATCCAAAGTGTCATTGAATGTGAGTCACTTCTTAGCAGACACTGGCAGGCTGACGATAACCTTTTTCCAGACTGGCTGGGTCTCCTGCCCACAGACGCTTACGTTCTTTAGTGACTTCGTGACTTCTCCACTGGAAGCACGTCCTTTGGGAGCTTTTTCTTTCTCTGGTCCCCTCAATTCGGAGGTTCTTGGTCACCATCTTTTGTCCCTCACTTTGATCAGTCAGGATTCCATCTGTGGCTGGACTCTGCCTCCTCATTCTCTTAGGCTGCTCAGTTTTCTGCCTTTTAGCCCAGCCCATCATTCATGGCCACGCCTTGTTCCGCCGCCTCTCCATCCACGACTGCACCGTGACTCCGCTCTTCCCCATTAATCTTAAATCATTCCTCCCATCCCCTTCTCCTCCTTCACTGCTGTGGCAGTAATCTCATAGTTTACCTCTTAATCTCATTTTCTACGATTGGTAATCCAGAACTTCTGGTTTCAAGGCTCTCACTTGGTTCTTAGCATGTCACTTTGATCCTTAATTCATTGAAAAGATTTACATGAATTCCTTTGACTGTTCAGAACCTCTCGGTCATCCTCCATCCTCTCGCCTTCCTCTTCTTTGCTGAGGTTAACACAGCACTTGTTGAAGTCTTCTTGGAGTAGTCAGGTGAACAGTAGGTTTGGATGGGGGAGAACCTGGTGACAGCGCACCAGTCTTTGAATCTCTCTGTCTCTGGGTCCTCATCTGTAAGGTAGAGATGATATCTGCAGAGCTGCACTCATGGCATTGTTGCTGGGGCAGGGGGAAGAAACGGAGCTTCATCCAGACAAACAATTTATTTAGCAGTGCGTCTGAGTGCAGGCTTTTGGTAGTCAGGGACCCCAGAGCTTGGCTTCTACACAATCAATATATGGTTTGGAGGGAGTGAAAAATAGGATTATTGGACTGAGGGTATGGGGGAACACTGAGGTGAGAAGAAAGGGGTAGTTTTGTGACATTCCTTAAGTTGGGTGACCTTGGGGAGGGGGAGTCATCTTGTGACTTCTCCAAAATCAGGTGACTCACAAGTAGCTGAAACTTAGCTTCACAGAATGGTGGATGAAGTCAAAATGGAGTTACAAAATGGAGAACAAAATGAAATGACGTGTGTACCAAGTGCTTTGAAAACCTTAAAGTACTGGAAGCATCATCTGTTTTTCCTGAGCCGTTGTGGTCCTCAGTCACATCCCATCCACTGTTCTCTCCTCAGCAACCTCAGACCTTCGCTGTTGTCTCCGAGACCGGCTCCCTTTCTGTCAGTGTTGACTTCTTGGTGTACCTAGACGTGCCCATGCCTTCCCTAGCCTGTAAGAAGAAACCCTCCCTTGACTACCCAGTCCCCAAAAGAGGAACTTGTACAGCTGCCCACTCCCTCTACAGCCTAGTTTCTGTCACCACCACTGCGTTGAAATTGTTTCCCCCAAGGCTCATAATGTTGGCATTACCCTGACACTTCCCTCTCCCTTCTTCCCCAGCCCCTGCAACCCCCAGTCTGGTTGCTAAGTCCTGCCTTTTTCATTTCCACAATAGTTCACATCTCTTCCCTTCTTTGCACAGTCACTATAACCACCTTAGTTAAAGCCTTCTGCACTTCTTAGACAGTATAACTATTATAATAACGTCTTGACTTTGGTCTCCCCCATTTCCAGTTCAGTCTTTACTATCATGCATCGTAATCTTCATAGAATGCAGCTCTGACCTTCTTATATCTCTTTTCTAAAAGTGCCTTGCTGTTGCCTACCAATTAAAGTATGAACACTGGAGCCTGGTATTCTTGGCCTTCCACAGTTTAACTCCAGCTGTATCGGGGAGCTATGGTGGACAGGAGCAGAAATATTGAGTATTCAACAGACCATGTAGACAGAAAGGGAAACTTAAAGAAAACACATCACAGACCAGTCATAGTAGTGGGGATTTGATCTGCTAAATCAGCTAAGCTGCTTAAAAATTGTTGCCTTCTGTTTTCCCATCTTCATTTCCTAATATATTTCCCTTCCACCCAATGAACCTTCCCTTATTTTAGAAAAAAAACCCGTCTCTTCTCCTGCTTCTGAATTCCTCATAGTTGTCATTTCTGTACTGCTGTGATATTCCCTTATATTCTTATACCACAATTTGTTTTTCCATTTGCAGCTGATAAACATCTGCTTTGTTTTCATTTCTTTGCTACCACAGAAGAAGTACTACAATTAATATTTCGGTTTTTTGCCCTTTGATCTCTTTGAGGGTATGTGTGACTATCCATGAAGTCACTGGGTTACATGGTGTGGACATTTCAGTCGATTTCTCACTGTAATTCTCAATTGCTTTTCAGAATGGTTGGGCCAGTTCACAGCTCCATAACTAGTGTGTTAGTTTCCCACGGGCCTGCCAACATGACTGTTTCCATCTTATGTTATCTTTGGGTTTGCCATGTTGTGATTTGCATCATCTTCCATCTAAATGTCAATAGGCTACAATTACGAGGGAGCTTTAGGCCATTTGGTTATCTGTTGGGGAATGGCTCTTGGCCTAAAGTGTTCGCCTTCCTTATTTGTGCATTTTGATCATCACGCTGAGGACAGGGATGGGACCTGGACTTGTCATTTCACTGGTAACAGATCACTCAAATGAAGAAACCCTCAACAGTCCAGGGCGGCACCTTCCCTTCAGCTTCTGGTCGCAAGATTGTTGGCATGGACGGGTCAGAGGCAGGCCTTCAGCCCGGGCCTCATGGCTCCAAGGCCAAGTTCTCTGCCCACTGCCATGTTGCCATTCAGACTGTCATCCGAGAGAGTTGATTCAAAAGGAGCTTCTTTCTTTTCCTAACGTCATTGTTACTTTTTATGAGTGCATTTAGCTATGATTTCTTTACTTGCCATAGTCATTTCCTTTTTCTAAAGATAAAGAAGCTAACAATGGGACATCTTATTCTGGAATCTGATTCTTACAATAAAGAATAAACTGGTTGGTGGGGTGGAAATGATGGATGGAAATGTTGGAGGGAAATTCTGAATACATTTGAGAATTGGTGATAGGAGTGGAAAGCCTGTTAGGTCTAACATAGGCCCTACATTTTCAGAAAGCAGAGAAAAGTTAGGAGCAGAATCTGAGACGTGAGACTGGGGGAGGGGGTCAGCTCCCCTCAGGAATGAAATTTCCTAGGGAGAGGTAAAGAGAGCTGTCCACAGTGCTGCACGTGTAGGTGTTGCCATGAGCCCGAAGAGGAGGAAGGGCAGGTGGTGGAGGGAGGGAGAGCCCAGGTGTGACATGGTCGAGGGAAGGCAGCGCTAGGGCTGAGAGAGCTGGGGCCAAGAGGTGTGTCAGATGGGGTGAGGCTTCTCCGGGACATGGAAGGACATGAGGAGAAAACAGAATCTTGTGCCCTGTCAGGAGAGAAGAGAGGACGACAGCTGGCTTCCAGGAGTTGAACTTTAAGAGAAACAGGAAAGGGTCCTGGAGTCAGGCAGTGCCGACTACATTGGCCAGCCACTAAAACCTCAAGAAGCTCACCTGTTAAAGAAGAGAATGGGGATGTACAAAATACGTGCACAGTGGATTCAGTGTTGGTGGGTTTTTTTTCCCCTGGAAAGAGGGTATAGATATCTAGGGAGACCAGGAACGTCTTTGTGTATAAGGTTGAGGAGGGAGAGTATTCGAAGTGTGGGGCACAACTAGTGCAAAGGAAAGGGGGCAGGAGATGAAGCAGAATGGAGAGGAACAACAGGAAAGAAAGACATGGGAACCAAGGCTGCACAGTTCAGTGGGGTGACAGGGTCGTGAAGGCCTTGAAAGGACAAGAAGGCATGACTGTTGAGTGATTCTCAGTCACCTCTGAAACATCGTGTAGACTAGGAGAGGGTTTGCAGGACTAGAGATGATCCCCCACCTCTTGTCCTGCCCATTGTCCCACTTATCTTCAGTCTTCCGCTCTTTACTGGCTCATTGTCTCCCCCATGCAGAAAACCCCCTCACTGCACCTTTCCTTCCCCAGTTAACTATTGTCCCATATCTCTTCTGCTCACAAGAGATGCCTTCCTTCTCCTCTCCCTCTCTTCTTAGCCCCTTTCATTCAGCATTACCATTGCACCAGAATGACTTTTAGCTGCCCAGTCCAGTGACCTCTTCTCCATACCCCTCCCTGACCTCTGCAGCCATGAACACTGATGATCCCCCCTCCTCCTTTAAAGTCTTCTCTCTCTCTCTCTCCTCTCTCTCTCTCTCTCTCTCTCTCTCTCTCTCTCTCTCTCTCTCTCTCTCTCTCTCTCTCTCTCTCCCTCCCTCCTCCCTCCCTCCTCCCTCCTCCTCCCTCTCCTCCTCTCCTCCTCCCTCCCTCCCTCCCTCTCTCTCCTGGTTCTCCTGTAACTGATCTGAGCGCTCCTCTGTTGGACCCCCATCAAGAAAGGAGACCCACCACCAGGGGGTAAACGTAGATTCTGCATGAGTGTGAGAGAGTCACAGTCTTCAGCAGTGGAGGCACTGACTGCGCTGAAGGCCCAGCATTGTGACATGGGCTTCTTGATTTCTCCATTTTTCCACACATGGTATCACTTAGCCATGGATCTTATTTTGCTCTGGTGCCGGCCATGTAACTTAGGACCATAGGTTTGTCCCTCCAGAAATAAAGTAAAGTAACTTTATTAATAATTAACTTTTTAAAACCACTGATGTTTTTGTTTTTAAGTCAATTTTTTTTTTTTACTCTTCTAGGTTATATTGCACCATGGAGTGGCAGATTTTATTCACTGTGGGACACTGGGTAAGTAAAGATGAGGGGAAATGATGTCATGTTATTTATCTTAAAGTATTGAATTTATGAAGAAATATAAGAAGGTTATTACTCTCTCAAGAGAAGGAGAGACTGCAAATGTATCTTAACTATACTCAGCACCTCCAGGTAGATCAGCAGCTGGCTTTTCTATAGAGTGTTGTCCTTGAGTAATTGGGGGAGTGTGTGAGGCAGCAGCTGTGCTCTGAAGAGCTGTCAGCCTGCCTCCCTGATATGTGCACCCAGTATGTGTGGTGTTCCTGACCAACCAACTTGGGCAATGTCTGTGCAGTTCCTGGGACTCTTAAAAAAATTCCACCCTAGTTAAAACTTTTGTGGATAAATAGCATTCCATTTACGACACCTGCTTTGAGTTTCTTTGCTTTTCCATGTGAACTTAGTCATTCCTTGACCTTTTTCAATTCTTAAACCATATCTCTGCCATTTTTCTTTGAGTGGATTGTAAAACAAGGTAAATTCTATCAGACAACAGTAAGTAGTAGTAGCAGGGCTTTGCAGTGACTGATTTTGTCGAGCAAACCTTTTTTTGGCTTAATTCATCAGCGTGGATAACATGTGCCATTAACTGTACACACATACTGCAAGGTTCAGATACGGTGGTGACCTTGTAGACCAGTACTTCCTCACCTCTTGTGATCCAGACAATACTGATTTCAACAAAAGAGCTTGTGTAACAACTCCAGCCTTTTCTGCTCACCTCTGCAGTGCTACTGGACAGTACCTGGTTTAAATTAAGTAGGAGACATGGATTATTGATACTGTTCAGACAGTACCTGGAGTCCCTAAGTACCCCTTGTGTATGGGTTACACAGAGGAGTAGCACCCCTGGTGTGAGGGCTTGCCGAGTTCTCTTCAGGGCTGCTCATCCACCTTTGTTCTCTACCTGACTGATCCAGCTGTCACCCGTGGCTCCAGGAAGCTGTTGCATGCGTAGCAGTCACACCCCAGTAAAACCGTCTCTGCAAGGGGACTAAAGCAGATTGAGGGTAACCGATGGGCCTGAAACCCTTCAGTGAGCTAGGGTCTTGTCCACCCTAAGCAAGTGAAGACTTCCCCCAGGGGAATGGGCAGGTGAAAACAGTTTGTTCCAGTGGTGTGAAAGAGGCTGCAGTAGGCACTGTTGAGCGCTGAGAGCTGGTCACCCACTGCATCCTAGGCCATTGTCAGTCATTTTGACTGTTGCCTTGCCACTGAACTTTGATGTCTCTGGGAGAGAGAGTGAGGCCAATGACTGTGCAGCTCTTGCCTTACTTAAAATCCAGTTCATGAGCAAGTCAGGATATTACCCATGATGCCGTTGGTCCTCTTTGAAAATGGACGGATGACAAGTGACTGTTGGAGGACTCTTTCCGGGATCCACACGGTCTCTTGGTGGCGGGGACCTTAGGATCAACCTCATTCTACAGATGAGGAAACTGAGGCGCAGAGGCAGGGGACACACCTTGGGAGTGAAGACAAGAAACACAGTTCTTAAGAGTCCGCATCCAGCACCTCTTCCACCAGACTGTGTGGACTTGATGTTTGTGTAGTGACCCACAACATACCAGGTCATGGTTTTGTACTTTTATAGAGAAATGATTCTAATTCATTTCATGGCCAGTTCGTGTTGCGCTCTTTTTGGGGTAGTGCTGTAAATTTCAGTCCTAATTTACTTAATCTTTTTTTACTCCGTGGCTGTATAACATCCCTTTTAACATCTGTTTGTAAAAAGTACAGAAAGGTCATTGAAGCCCATTGGAAGGCACTTAATAAGGTGCAGAGCTTGAGGTTGGGCAAGATTTTATTTGTCCAGTTCATTGGAAATCAGAGCCCCGCCCGCCTGGTCCTTGGGGGTTCTCCTGAGCGGCACTCCAGGATTTTCCTCAGTTTGGACTGAGCTCACCGGGCCGTCTGTGTGACAAGGCCCCTGACGAGTCTGTAATGGGAGGAGAACCTGTAACGTTAGGAATAGAAGAAGCTCCCGTGGAGGAACAGACTCGTCTACTGAGCAACATGAAGTAGTAGAGTCTCTGGGGACGCCGAGAGGGTCGGTCCTTGGCCAGCCGGGCTGGGTGCAGCCGGCCTTGCTCAGAAGCCAGCTCTTTACACTGTAGTGAGCGTTGCTTCAGCGGCAAGCCAAGACCAGGAAAAGAAATGCTTTGATCTAGGAGGAAAGCCATTTGGGGCATTTCAAAATCATGCTGCTTTTTTTTTTTAACTAGGTATGCAAAAATACACATTCCAATCATTGCCTCAGTATCTGAACACCAGCCTACAACATGGGTATCCTTCTTCTTTGATCTCCACATTCTCGTGTGCACCTTCCCAGCAGGACTTTGGTTTTGTATCAAAAATATCAACGATGAAAGAGTGTTTGGTAAGAGCAATGTTTAGAAATACTTTGATTTGAAATAATTGCCTGGGTTTTTTTTTTCCTTGATGAAGTTCATATTTGTAAATCCAATCTTCTGCAGTTAGGCAAAATTCTACCTTGTTATGTTTGGGGTATTTTAGATTAAAAATCCAGTGTTAAAAGGAGTTGTATTTTTATAATTCTGTTTATATTGCTAAGCACTGAATTGGTATATAGAATTGGTATATAATAGCTCAGCCCTTACTTGAGAGCAGGAAGTAAATTCTATAATATTTGAACAAATGGTCCCACTTAATAATTTATTACTATCTGTGAGTACTAAAAGCATAATGTGACCAGGTTGCTCCCATCTCAATAATAAAAATCAAGGCAATTTCAGATGATCTGAAGTTGAGAATGATTTTAATATGATTTAAAAGTCGTTTTGCGGCTTTGTGACCAAGATGGCTTCAATACTGACAATGGCTGTGGTTTACCAGCATATGCTTTACATATTTATCAGCCGTTTTTCTAGCATTATCTCAGTTGCCCTGCTTTTTGCATTATTTCATTTTTGGCTCATAACGTTTTCATTTTATTTACATAATAATGTTAGAAATTTGAGCAATTTGCTCTGTGGTCTGTGTCTAAGATTGTAAGGTTTAGGCTTAAATTTCCAGACTTTTGTCTACAGCTTGGAATATCCCCACCTGAATAAGAGCTATGACAGCTACCCAGCAATTTGTAAAACAAGGCTATAGCACATCCCTCGAATGTCTTGTTGGAGAAAATATTTGTGTCAAACTGTGTGAGTTCTGCATTTAAGCAGAGCACTCTCTTGGGCATGGGATTATGGAATGGGGCAACAAGAGTGTAGGCATTTTTAGCCAACAAAAGAATCACAAGTTACAACCTGGAATATTGAAAACCAGGTCATTGAGCATCGCTCCCGGTCCGGGTGTTGGTGTCCAGGTAGCCCCTTCTAAGGGAAGCACACCTGTCATGGCGTCCGAGGACCCTGGGAAGGCCTTCTCCTGCCTGAGGTCTTTGGTCAGGGCGTATGGAGCTTCCCCTGAAAGGCAGCAAGACTGGAGGAGATCTGATGGAAACAGCCAAGCTAGAGGACGCTGGGCCTGGCCTTGGCTAGGAGGGGAGGTGGGGGGGACAGGTGATGGGAAAACCCAAGGTCAGCCCCTTTCATAATCTGAGCCTTAGTTAAGGGGGACTGGTGGAGGGAGTGGGGCTAGGACTTCTGTGGCTTCTCAGAGCTCTTCTAGCTCCAGTTGTGATCCTACCCAAGTCTACAACAAGGGATGGAAAGTGCCCTAGTGGGTTCCACTCATGGCTCTGGAGAAGATGGTATCACAGACCTGGAATGTCAGCCTTAGCCCATAAAAGTCACTTCTCTGTGATTTCGTGTGGTGTCCAGGTGTTTGCGCCCTGCCAGAATGTGTTTAAAACCTCTAGGCCTCTCACTAGTGCCTTGGAGGCACTGCAGATTTCACTTAACAAATGGCATCATTTCTACTTTGTTTATTGCTCTTAGCATAAGCTTTACTCCATGGAGGATTTGTAGGGCATTGGGCACTTACTGACTGGGTCTTGTGCTGTCTTACATAAGTGCATTTTCCTGTAAAAGCATAACAGTCTTAGAAAATCCATCGCTGTTGACAAATGTGAATGAAAGGATCCCCATCTCCCAGGTAACAGCACTGAAATCTATGCCTGGCATAGGCCTGTTAATTACTGAAGTCCCTAACAAGTTATGACTTATGGCAGTGACTGTTCATTATTGGCCAGTATTGGTGATTAAATAATTCTTTGGAGGAACTTTTTATTTTTTTGATTACTGTCTAAAAGCCGAGTTTCCTACTTTCTAATGATTAAAAATAAACCTGTCTCATCCCAGTGGCTCTGTATGCAATCAGTGCTGTCTACTTTGCTGGGGTGATGGTGCGCCTGATGTTGACTTTGACCCCGGTGGTCTGCATGCTCTCTGCGATTGCCTTCTCCAATGTCTTTGAGCACTATCTGGGGGATGACCTGAAAAGGGAAAACCCGCCTGTGGAGGACAGCAGCGATGAAGACGACAAAAGAAACCCAGGGAACTTATATGACAAGGTAGGAGCTCTCAAGTGAAACTGATTCTTATGGACATGCCCAGGGAGTGGAGATAACACCAGGGATGGCTTTTCACTCAGATTGGCACAGGGAACTATTTTAAGGGCATTTGACCAAGTGCTGGTTCCCAGGGGTTATAGTCGGTGTTTGTTTTAAGATCATACTTGAAAGATCTTACTCAGGTTTGATAGGTGATAAAATGTCTTGAGTGAAGTTTTATTAAAAATTGTTGATATTTGCTTTCAGTCTGATGTATCAACAAGACAGCTGTCAATTGTAATGTAACTGAACCCTAACCCACATCATCTCCTGGGTGGCAGATCAGTTTTATCTTTATAAAGGGAAGGAAAATAGCCCCTAATGTATGGGACCTTGTCTGGGGGTGGTGTGCGTGGAGCACAGCTTTCTGTTGAGTGGGTGAACTTCCTTCTGCTGCTAAGTTAGTGTCTTCCCTCCCACTAGAACAACAGTATCAAGTGGGAGGGGTGGGACAGAAGCATTGCCTGCTTCTCCAGGCTCCTCGTTTCCTCGGCACATGATCCCCAATAAAGGCCAAGTCCACATGTTGGTTTGGTTGGGGTGTGTAGAGGCGGGGGACGTAGAGTGCATGGAGATGCGCTCGTTTATGTGCTGAACAACTGCCTCTTTCCTTAAGAGGATGAAGTGTGCCGCGCTGTTGTAAAGGGGCATTGAGGCTTCTGTTACTGAAACAGGTCCCCCGTGAGGTGCCTGCGTGTAGGTGTGGAGATGGTGTGGAATGGGGCAAGGGCACAGGGCTTCTTGCCTTAAAGCTACTTCAGAGCTTCTGCTAAGTGATGGGGGGAGTAAAAGATCTGAGGGGAAATGAGGGGTCACACTGCCTTGTTTGGACATAAATTTCTGAAAAAAGAGAAATAAGGGTGATGACATCTTAATGAACCGAGAAGGCAAAATAAGTTTGCAGAAATAATTTTGTGTATCCTCAGGCAGGAAAAGTGAGGAAACACGTGTCTGAGCAGGAAAAAACTGAAGAAGGCTTGGGGCCCAACATCAAAAGCATCGTCACCATGCTGATGCTGATGCTGTTAATGATGTTTGCCGTTCATTGTACGTGGGTGACGAGTAACGCTTACTCCAGCCCCAGCATAGTGCTGGCTTCTTACAACCATGACGGGTAAGGCTCCGGGGGGGCAGGGGGAAGCCTCCCTGGGGAGCGCCTTGTGACGAGCCCCTCAGCTCCCATGCCCCTGGCGGGCGGGGCAGTTTTGTGCTCGTCCCCTTCTGGTCACTCTGTCTGAAAGGACGCGGCCGTTTCCTTTCAGCACCCGGAACATACTGGATGATTTCCGAGAAGCGTATTATTGGCTGAGGCAGAACACCGACGAACACGCTCGAGTGATGTCTTGGTGGGATTACGGCTACCAGATCGCCGGCATGGCCAACAGGACGACGCTGGTCGACAATAACACGTGGAATAACAGCCACATTGCACTGGTAAGGGTTTTCTGTGACAGACAGGCCTCCGAGCTTCCCTGCTTCCGCCCATTTACATGGAGGGGAGCGCTGGGCATTGTCCTGACTTCCTGTCTGGGCAAGAGCAAGCAGAGCATGCATGTGGCCAGTGCCATTGATAGCTCCTTTCTTTGGGTGATTAGCTTTGAAAATTATTTGTATGTTAACAAATCCTGAGTCTGGAAATTGTGTTCTGACCATATAATGTAGCAAAGAAACTTGCCGTTCCACTCGTGCTGCAAAGCAATGGACAAGCGCCCAGTGTGGCGGCCTTAGGAATAAGCCCATCTCCCAAACCCAGGGTCCACCCAGGCTGGGCAGGGGGAGGACATGCAGGGGGGGCCAGGCCATTCCCCAAGCGCACGTGCGCCCACACACACACTTTTATAGCATAAACACCTAACATCATCAAACCAAACAAGAAATGTCTGATTTGGGGAGATCTATAGTAGATGAAGACACCTAAAATGACAGCCAAAGTCTTAACCTTGGTGAATTGTTCCTCAGCCTAGAACTCGGTTTCTGTCAGACTTTTTAAGACTTAAGATGTGAAGGATTTGGACAATAAAATGAAAACTATGTTGAGCCCCCGGAGCTGATCTAAATGCCTTTCCTTTTTTTAAACATGTGGTCTAGGTCGGGAAAGCCATGTCTTCCAATGAAACAGCTGCTTATAAAATCATGAGGAGCCTGGATGTAGATTATGTTCTGATTATTTTTGGAGGCGTCATTGGTTATTCTGGTGATGATATCAACAAATTTCTCTGGATGGTCAGAATAGCTGAAGGGGAGCATCCGAAAGACATTCGGGTAAGAAGCCAATTAGAAACGTGTGAGACTGCTACTCCCGGAGAAAAGGGCAGCAGGGATTACTGGTGAATGAGTCAGCAAGTGTTTATGGAGCACCTGCCGTGGCCCACAGCAACAAAGCGAGGGAGCCACCCCTGCCAGCGCAGGAGCCATCCCAGCGTGGCTACAAGGCCTGGCCGGGAGGGAGGGCTTGGAAACCGCAGTCCTCTCAGGCCCCCACCCCCCAAGCACACGCACGTGGTTTGTGAGTTCTGTGTTATTTTCATAGTCTCTCGCATCTGTCTCCTCCAGCCTCGGCTATTTCATTGCAAGCATGTAATTGTGTTTAAAAATGTAAAAATCAGCTCTTTAGTTTGTGGGTCTTACTGCACATAAACAGCAGGGTCTGGATTTGGCCCGCAGGCCCCAGTGACACTCGTGGTCTGCATACAGAGAGAAGCAGCTGAAGAGGATCTGGCACATAGTAGGTGCTTGATAAAGGCTAGTTCACTGACCCTAAAAGTAAATGCATGAAGGTCTTGATGGGGAGAAAACGAGCACGGCTAGAAGGGGGTGCTTAAGCCTGTGAGGTTTTGTATGGAGGACGGAGATGTGGGGAATGCCAAGGTGGCCACATCACAGGGAAGGCTGGAAAGGCAGCTTGCAGCCTAGTGCAAAGGACGTGGCATGCCAAGGACCAGAATGGGGCAAGACTAGAGGGAGGGAGATCCATAACTCAGGGAAGAGGAGATGGAGTGAAGGAAGCAGCCACAAGATTTGGAAATAGGGTGGAGAAGTGTGGTGAGGGAATAACGAAGTGGGGCGGGGGTGGCTGCCGTGACAGAAAAAGGTTAATTCGAGGAGCTCGGGAGGGAGACCGGGGCTTGAGGCCATCTTATTCTTCTTCTACCATCTCATCTTTGAGGGATGGTGTAATGTGTGGATTGCCTTGATCAGTGTTTTACCATTATGACTTTATTACGTATCAGATTTTAAATGCGTATTTTTGAATTGTGATACCAAGCCCATCTCTGTCCTTCAAACCTTCTACATCCTAACAAATAATCCTACCAGCTGTTCACTGGATTTGTGCTCTGTCTCTTCCCTTTGGAAAAATGTTTGCTTACCAAGGAATACAGCGTCCCTGCACCTCCTAAGCTGCCAAGAGAGGGGTGTGTGTGTGTGTGTGTGTGTGTGTGTGTGTGTGTGTAAGTAAATACACGTATGCATAGTGACCTGCTGTATCCCCCCACAGTCTTGCACACGTTATCTTGTTGGATCAGACCAAGTATTTGAAGAGAGATTATTTTTAAGGGAGTTATGGATGATTCTCAGAGTTGAGTTGTGCTGACACAGAAATGTCTATATTCTTCTTTACAGGAAAGTGACTACTTCACCCCCCAGGGAGAGTTTCGAGTAGACAAGGCAGGGTCTCCGACCTTACTGAATTGCCTCATGTATAAAATGTCATATTACAGATTTGGAGAAATGCAGGTGAGTGGGATTGTCCATTATGATCTCCAGTTGTGGAGAAGGACATTTTCAAAACTGAATGTTGGTATAATAGTCTGTTCCTGGTTAGGCTTCTCATTGGTGAGATGAGCTCTATCCAGCTGCTAAAAATCAATCCGTGTTTTTCCTATTGCTGTAGAGTCCTGGCAAAGACTCCTATTTTGGAGAACTTTGTTCTCTTATGAGGCTGCAGACGCTCCCCAGATTAGTGCCAGAATGCTGGGTCTGCAGCTGAGTTCTAAAATATGAACAGCCCTCAATCTTAGTGAAACAGAGAAGGCCGGCTGCCAGAAGGTGGGATAGTTCCCTGTTTTATCTTCCTGTCAGTGTTGGCTTTTAGAGGACAGCGGAAAGGAGTGGAGACCTAGGACGCAGCACTCAAGAGTTAGCTTGGTGATCCTGGGCATGCTAGGGAAGAAGGCCATAGCAGGGTGGGGCTCAGGTCACCTCAGGCCTGGATGTGTTTCTGATCTCTGACCCTGTGGGGGTCCTGGACAATCCAGAATGGGCTGGACTGGGGTTTGTTTGCTTGAAACTGGGAAGAGAAGCCAGACCTTCCTGGGAAAGGATCTATTCTCCAAGTCAGCCTTGCTGGCATGTTCCTGGAGATGGCTATGCCAGAGACAAATTGGGGAGGGGGGCCTGGATTCGAGGCCTGCCTCTGTGGAGGACTCTTTGGGACCCTGGACAATCCCTGCCTGGGGCCCACAGCTGGTCACTTCAGCCATCAGGTGAGAGGGGGAGAGCAGATGCTTTCTCAGGGGCTTCCTCCCCCAAAGTTCCCCCCCCCCAGGTGCATGTCTCACTGAGCTAAGGTGAGAAGTCACTAAAGAGATCCCTCATGAGACCAGGAGAACCATCCACACCACTGAGGGGGTGCTTTTGTTCTTTTAATCAAGCGTTGTGCTCAACTGACACATTAGACCTTAATTTACTGCCTTTTCCAGTACATTCGAGTAACCTAACGCCCCGAGGAGTTTCCTGGGAGTCTTGTGTCTGACAGTGAATGTCTTAATTTACTTTGAAACCCAATTTCATCCATTTTCAAAATGGTGTCACTAGGATAAGGTTAGAATGCACCTGGGCCTTCAGGTGTTTCCATTTTGTTTCTTTTGGCTTTGAAAATCTGGTTGAAACCAAATAGTCACTTGGTTACATACTTTGAAAGTCTTTTTCAGGTGTGTTTAGATATTCCTTGATAAAGTTACTAGATAAAGATGTTGATCAGTTTATCTTTGAGTTTCTGAATTTCCTGAGCCAGCCTCAGGCTGCCCATGATGTGACACTTGATCTGGGCATGTCACTGAGTCGGGCTTGTCCCAGACTTGTGCCAGAAGACCTGCCTTCTTATTCTACTTGAATTCATTTGGTTTGGGGTAGTATCTTTAGGAGATTTGTTATTAAATTCCTCCAAATCAGTTTCTGTATTTAAAAAAAAAAAGCCATCTCTTAGCTTTGCATTTACTACGGGGAGAAGATTGTTTTCCACAGACTGCCAAATGAGTCTTTGATCCCAAAAGACTAAAATCCCCTGGACTGGATCTTGTTCTGTCATTGCTTCTCTGCCCCTAGGAGGGTAGCACCATCTTGGAGTGGGGTTGGGGGCTTTTAGCTGGCTGGAAGGCTTCTTAGGTTTCTGGAATTGCTTCCGCTTTTCCCAAAGCATCATCAGTCTTTGCAAGACTTTGAACCAGTATCAGAAACCACCAGTTGGACTTTTCATGCTTAGTCTTTGGGGTTTTTCCTCTGGTTTTCTTTAGTTAGTGAGCACGTATTTGTATTTGATTGAGGCAAGAGTAGTACATTTCCCACTGCAGTCACTCATACGAATGCTTTATTTTGCAGCTGGATTTTCGGACACCCCCAGGTTTTGACCGAACACGTAACGCCGAAATTGGCAATAAGGACATTAAATTCAAACATTTGGAAGAAGCCTTTACGTCCGAGCACTGGCTTGTTAGGATATACAAGGTGAAGCAGCTGCAGAACCGGGAGACCCTGGACCACAAGCCTAGAGTAACCAACATTTTGTCCAAACAGAAGTATTTGTCAAAGAAGGTGGGTTCCCAGGGAAATTATCCTAAAAAGGGGGGGTCCGGCTTGTCTGGGCACTGGTAAATGGCTCATTTCTCCATGCCAAATGTCCATGTTTAATATCAGCCTTGCCTGTTGGTAACCTTCACGTTCTCCACCCTGTCTGAGGGCCGTGGCGGTCGGCACCAGCAGAAGGCTCCCCGGGGCAGCCTCCTGTCAGGCACTTTGGTTTGCTCCGTAGTTTTCCTGTGGATCTCTCTTGCAGAATCTGTTTTAAAGTTAAAATGCCAAACCATTGAAACAGTGACATATTTTGTGTGAAAGAGTGAATTAAACCCAAATATTCTTTTGGTGTTGGGCTGCTTCCTCCATCGTGAAATAAACTTTCATCTTCACTTCCTTGTGACGCAGTCCATATTCTGTTTGGCACGGGCTTCCTCTCTTGCCCCTCGTGAAGATGAGGCTGGACTTCTTTCTAGAATCATAATTACTGAAAGCCTCATTATGATGGGGAGGGGATATGAACAATTAGGTTATCAAAGTAAGATCATCATAATCCCCCTTTGGGGAGATCATGGCCCATCTGAAGGGAAGGGTGGTGGGCAAACGTGCTGAGAAGCCGCAGGCTTGAGAGTCCCAGGACCCGCCCCTGAACATGTCTACCCTCCCTCAGCCTGGCCTTCCTTACATGTAAAATGTTGGGGGTGGAGTAGAAATGGCATACAGGTCCCACACCTCTAAGGAGAGCTCTCATCGAAATTTCCATCGAAAGGAAATCTGCCACACTCCTTAATGAGTGGCCTCTGGGGCCTTATTTATTTTTTAAAAAATCATGGGTTGGGTTTTTCCAAAAATCTTGGATTTCAGGTACTTGCACTAGCCATTATGAGAGATGACACAGAAATTCTCTGGTCTTTCAAATCCTTAGGATAATAATTAATAATATAGGGAATATTTAAGTATCTGCTATGTGCCAGGCACTGTGCTAATAGTAAGCACCTTACAAATGCCATCTCATTTGATCCTCAAACAAGCCTGTGAGGTAGGGGCTGTTACTATCTCGACGTTATGGGCTGAGGAAACAGAGGCAAATGGCTGAAGTGACCTGCCCAGGCTGAATTGGAACTTGGGTCTTAGTAACTCCAGGCCTGAAAGTTTCCATGTGTTCAGAGTCAGAGGATGTGGTTGGGTCAGTGTGCTGGCACCTGGGTTTGCACCCACACCTGTCCCTAGTGCTAACTGGTGCCCAGAGGATTTGGGGAAAGTCCCTTTCCCTTCCCTGGGCATCAGCAGGCATTCACTACGCACCTTCCAGGTGTGAGCACCAGCGTCATAAACCCCTGCTTTCTGGGAGTCCTTGAGCGCCTGTGACAGAGGAGGGTTGGGGAAAGCTGCTGACGGCTTCTCTCTTGGGGCTGGGGGGATGTGTCTGGATGCAGTGCCCAGCCTCGAGCTCATTCACCTGCCTTTAGGAAAAGAGTGGAGCGATGGGGAGGGAGGGCTGTGGATGTGCCATTCTGAATCCGTAAAGATGATCTTTGTTTAATAAAAAAGTCAGTAATCCAGAGCCCTGCCTATTTAAAAATTTTGTGTGTGTGTGTGTGTGTGTGTGTTCCCTTTTACTAAGAAATTACTCATAAAACAGAAAGAGACTCCAAGTGGGGCTTGGCATTGCTGGTAGGCTGACATCCAAAAGGGCCCTTCCTGGTGGTGGGGGTGGGGAGCCATTTTGAACTGGTGACTTTCCAGGTGTTTGTTTTGCTTTTGGAAGGTTTCCTTCCAGCTTTTTCCCTGGCAACCTCCCACCCCACCCTCCCACTGAAGGGGCCGAGGTAACGTCTCATGCTTGATACCCTACCCCCAACCCCACTGTGTTCAAGACAAGGGTCAGGTAGCCCATCACTGATGAGGGACTTTTGAGATCATACCTGAAATCTACACAAGCACCTAAGCCATAGTTTGTTACCAGTGTTAAGGGAACAGAGTAGGAACAGTCTTCCCAACAAAATGGCCCCTTTATTCCATAAAGTCCGTTGGAGTAACTAGCGTAACTGGTAAAAGACCAGCCACTGCTATGGGACCTATGAAATGACTTGCCCGTGTGCTCCTGGTCGTCCAGGACACAGCCTTGTGTCTGGCAGTGCATGTCTGCCTCCTGGCCCCCAGAGGAGGGCTGGGCAGCATGCACAACCTTTATGCTGGAAACTCCAGTGAGGTGGGGTCTTCAAGCCAAGCCAGCCCCCTGCCCCCATCCCACAGTCTCCTTCACATTTGGTGTATGTGAAGCCGTTTTTCTTGGGACATTTATTCAGTAATTAATTTGGCTTTGTGAGTACCCCCAATTTAGAGAAAGAACAACTAAAGCTCTAAATGATTTGTACTTACTCAGACTCACATGGCAGGGAAAGGGTGAGCTGAGGCATCATCGGATTCCAAGGCGATAGAATCTAATCTCCTGGAGAGCCCAGCAGTGCCTGGCACACATGATGCCAGCCTCGGACTAGCCCCTGAGGTCAGGGTTGGGAGCAGAAAAGGGAGAGGTGTCGTCACGAGTGGGGGGATGCAGGGGCCACTCTAGTCCCAAGAGGCCGCTTGGTTAAACAAAGGATCGTGACAGGTACGCGTTCCTGCATGAGCCAGCCAGGCTAACTCCCCGTGTTGTTGCTTTTCAGACTACCAAGAGGAAGCGTGGCTACATCAGAAATAAACTACTTTTAAAGAAAGGCAAGAGACCCAACAAGAAGACTGTTTAAGAGATGAGACTGTTCCGAGCGCTGATTGCAAGCAGTTGTCCTTGAGATAACCAGTCTTTGCCTTGAGCTCCAGTCATGTTTCACAACAACATGAGGGTACAGAACCATCACTGGTCCAGATTCATGTACAAAATTTTCAGGCAATGTCTGATTTAAAACTATTGGCTTATTGAGAACAGCTGTTTTAGATTTGTAATGTGAAGCAAGACCGAGCACTGCTGTGAATGTCTAGCAGCAGATTTGATATTTTTATTGGTACATATTCTCTTTCCACGCCAAGAATTTGGACTTAACTGCACCAAAGAACCCTCGAATCTGGTCCCTGGCACACGCAAATTTGTCCGTTTTTCTTCTTTTTTAATTCTTTTACAAGACCTGCACTTCCTTTGAGATATACCTAAACAGCAATATGTCAAAATGCAGATTGTAAATTGTGATGAGCTTTTTACACAATTAGGACGTGAGTTATAGATCTGGAAACAGCTATTAGAAACTGGGATGCCCTTCCTTGAATAATATTTATGTCCATGTTTCTCGATGTAAAGAATGTTTCATCAAATGCACACTTTTCTTTTTCTCTGAGGGTTTGCTCTGTCCACAAAGAAGCTGCTGCTGCTGGTGGCGGTGGCGCCTTCTTTGGGGTCCCAACAGGGCAGCTCCTGTGCACGCTGTTCACTCAAGGGCTAAGTTGGTATCCTTCGGCAGTTCTAGAAACTGCACTGAGGACGCTGTGCAAAAGAACTTTGTTGAACTCTTCACACAAGAAAACGGAGGGGAAACAGCCTATTCAAAAAATTGCCCGATGAACATACATCCCCTGTGTATGTGCAACTCCCACCTCACATCTGGCCCAGGGTGAACATCCCTCCCTCAGATGCTCCAACATTTGATGAAACACTCTGACTTTAGCGAGGTGCTCCTTATTTCATTTGAAAAATTGTGACAGGTCTGTCCAATGACATGCTCACACCGAGTGGGTATGGGACACATGCCCTTACCTGCTCCTGGCAGCTTGAGGAGGAAGCTGTGGAATTCTCTGCAGCCCTTGTAGGAAAGTGCTTCCTACCACAAGCTGTCCCAATTGGGGGGTTTTATACATATCTATATTAAAAAAATTATAACTTACACCACTGCTTTTAGTGGAACATGAGGAATAGTATGTACCTTTTATGAAGAAAAATGTAATTTACAGCCTTCTGTGAGAATGTTACTGCTGATTTTCCTTCCTAAAGTGTAGAATGTTTTGTTTTTTGGGGTTTTTTTGGTTTTGTTTTTGATTTATAAAAACTCGTTTTTGACCCTGATGGTTCTTTTACAGACCAACAAAAATGGCTGTAACATTTTCACAAAATAAAAACAGATAGATCTGGATTTCTGACACCTTGTTTTGTCCTTTGGAGATTTGGTTTTACTTGGTTACTTCAAAGTTTAATGCAGACACATTGTGAAGAGGGGAAATAAAGTTAATTCAAGTTTTGTGTTAAGTGTCTGTTCTTCTGTACCTCCTTTAATTTAACCTTGAAAAGAACTAAAGTAGCTTTCAGAATTCCGTTGTGAGAGGAAGGGGAAGTAAAGCTCAGTGGACTGTTGTAGCTTGCCAGCTCTGAAATCATCCTGCTGTCCTTCAGTCCCAGTGTGGTGTCTCAGGTTGGCATCCACCTCCCTCCTCCCTGGGCTGTGGGCACACAGCTAGTAAGGGTGGGGCTTGAACCCTGGTCTTCCCCAGGCAGTGACCACGATTCTCCTCCAGGCACTATGCTGTTTTTGTGATCTTGTGTCCTGGCCCAGGATGTCTTTGTTGCTTGTAGGAAGCTCCTTCTGCCAATGCCAACCCACTGCTTCTCAGCTCTGGGATGTGGAGAGTGAACTGAGGCAACCAGGGGTTAACTGACTCGGCCACAGCCCTCCAGCCAGTATGGATCCAAGGCAGGCTTTGCACCCAGGTGTTTCTGACTCTGCCTCTGTAACCACCTATCATTAGTGTGTGTGGGCCGAGTGTTGTTCCAAACTGACTTAGAAGCGTTCGTGAAGGGCCCAAACTGTCACGGTTCTCACTCTGCATTCAGAGATGGGCCGTGGCTAATCCCATCGCTACCTGCAAAGGTCCTCAGTGGGTCTTCCTGGGATCACTTCTTCAGGTCACTCTGTTGGGTCGAGGGTGTGTGTGCCCCCTGTACCGAGGAGGAGTTGTGAGGTCCTGCTCATGAGCTGTTGCTCTCATGAGCACTTCTGGCTGTCAGTGCCAGTAGAAATGGGAGCTCTTTGTTGCAGACAGATGGGAATGCCTCTGTGACCCAAGGCGCGGCATTCTGCTGAACTGACAGGTTCCCCAGTCGGAATCACAGAGTGTCTTCTTGGGGTGAGGAAACACGGCCGCCTTGAGGCTGAGCAGGCCAGAAGCAAGGGCGGCACGTGGTCCATCGTCGTGTGTCCGACATCTCAAGTCTTGGGCTGCCTTGTGCAGCAGTGGGAACCCTATCTACGCTGCTGCCAGTAATGAGCTCAGATGAAGAGAATGGCGTAAGCTGGTCTGGGGCGAGTGGTGCTGAGCCTTCCTTCAACTGAAAATGTGAGCGAGAAGCCACGTCGAGTCAAATGCTTCCTTCAGCCATGGCCCCAAGGCTTCTGGCTTCTCCCACTAAGGACCAGAGGAAATGAGGGAAACCGAAACGTCAGTTAAGAGATGAAGAGGTAGAAATGACAACTCTGATCTCTGTCAATGCATATTTCAGTCAACGCCAGTTCCAAAATTCTCCCAGGACCAAGCATAGGCCACTCTACGAGAGACAATCGGCACGTCTGCGCCATCACAGTCTGTTAAAAGGTTGGTAGTCGAGCAGCGTTTATTCAATGGAGGAAGGATGAGGAGGCCAGAGAGAAGAACATTCCCTTCATTTGATTGTGCAAAGTACAAGGATACTTGTGTGGATGTTTGCTTGCCCCTTATTTCAAAAAACGTGGATATGAGGGGAAAGACAGGGAAAAACACCAGCCAGTGTCGTTCAGGACCTGCCCTTATCCCAGAAGACCGAGACCCACCTAATCAGGTTCCAGCCTAAGCAGATAAAACCTAGGCCTTCTCCTCATCTCCACATTGTCATGTCGTGACTAAGTCAAGACACCCCTCCCACCCCGTCCTCCACTGGTAAGTACCGCTTTCACCTAGGTTCAGGAGAAATGCATGCTAACTTGTTCATGCCAAGCAGATGATAACAGGTCCTTTCACAACACAAGGAGAGGCTTCCGTGTTCATCAAAGGAAAAGGGCATTGTGCAGACAGACACAACTTAGCTTCGTAGTTATGTGAACCACACAATCAGCTGGCGTTCAGGCACTGTACTAAAGACAAGGGAAATGGTTCCCCCCGCCCTCACGGAGCTGACGTGATACTGGGGGGTGACAAGCACGCCAATGTGTACATAGGATTTATATCAAATAAACCCAGGGCAACAGTGGAGGGGAGGCACGGGTGAGTCCTCCCGTGTTACAGGAGGGGGTGCCTTAGCAGAACCTTGAAGGAACATGAGGACGCCACAAGGCAGAGGGGAGGGAGCGTACTCCAAGAATGACAGATGGCCGAGGCATGGCCACAGAGCCAGACTGGCTTGTGAAGACAGCTCCAAGTGCGTGAAGGAGAGTCGTGTATTCGCAGGCCAGAGAGGCAGGTTGGGACCAGAATGTGAAGGTCTGGATTGCCAGAGACTTCTGTATCACACCCCAGTGGTGAGCGCCAGTGGAAGTCCTCATTGCGGGGGGAGTGACGAGTGATGGGGTCAGTTGTGTGCTCTACGAATATTAGTGAGGGGCAGCTAGGTGGTGCAGCGGGTAGAGCTCCAGCCTTGGAGTCAGGAGGACCCGAGTTCAAATTCAACCTCAGACACTCGACGCTTACTAGCTGTGTGACCCTGGGCAAGTCACTTAACCCTGAGTGCCTCACCAAAAAGAGTATCAGTGGATGCCAATTAGGAAGTTTTCAGAAGCGATCAGGGCGACAGTGCCTCGGCTGTCAGGTGTGTGGTTCCCTGGGACCTGAGGAGAGTCATCAGCCTAGGTCAGACCCCACGTCCAACCAGCCCTTCAAGTCATTCTGCCACCCGTGAGACCAAGAAAGGACGGTGTCCAGAACCTTGGGGTGTCCTTCACAGAGCGCCAGTCACGGTGTGATGTGACCCAGAGTCTCAGAAGGGCAGAGCGGTCTTCCTCGGGGAGCGTAAGAGCCCAGGACAGATGCCGGAATCCATCCCTATGGTGAAGGGCCAGCGTGCGACTCCACAGGAGGAAGTCTTAACACTCCGTGCCCGGGCGGAGACGCTCTGGTGATTGCCAGAGTCCCCCATTGTGCTGTGTCACTTCTACTTCCCCCAAACACGAAGCAAAAACTAATTGGGGACAGAGGCCACTGACGTCAGCAACTCTCGGCTCCCTCCGATGGTGAAGCAAACATGGTGCTTCTCCTGTAAGAGTCTCCGGTGCTCTCTCCTGGGAACCGCTAATTCCTGAGTGCAGACAGCAAACCTGGAAATTCTTCTACTTGGGCCCAAAGGCAAGAGAACGATGATGACACACAGCCCCCTCACAAGTGCAGCTTCTGAGGGTTCCTGGGGAGTCACTCCATCCAACCCCCTTCCCGCCCAAGCGTCGTCTGCATTCGACCGCCTCTATGTTCCCAGTAAAGCAACAGGAATGGAAACACCTCGAGGCCGGAAACAGAATTGGGCCAGACTTGGAACGGGTCCTCCTGCGTATTACAAAGTCAGCTTGTCTGCCACCCACCCTCCTACCTGAAGGAGGCATACTCATGGCCAGTGGCATGCCGGTGGGTGAAGATGTGCAAGGAGGATGTGCCGCCCCTCCACAGCATGGGACCAACGGGGCCTGGGCCCAGGAAGACGTCCGAGGTCCGAGTTCCCGGCCGCTTGGCGGTGTTTCCACTGCTCCTAGGAGTGAAAGACCAGCTGGCCAGGGTCTCTCTGACCCCCCATTAAATAACCACAACAGCTCACATTTACAAAGTGCATCAAACATCACCTTACATTGTCATCTGAGCTTCAAAACAAGCCTGGGCGAGGTGAATTATTGTCCCATTTTACAGATGAGGAAACTGAGGTGCAGGGTCACCTAGCCAGTAAGAGCCCAAAGAAGGATTTGAACCCAGGCCCAGTCCTCTATTCATTACAATATTCAATTCACTCAGCATACTTTTTTTTCTTTTTGGTGAGGCAGTTGGGGTTCAGTGACTCACTCAGGGTCACACAGCTAGGAAGTGTCAAGTGTCTGAGGCTGGATTTGAACTCGGGTGTTCCTGACTCCAAGGCCAGAGCTCTACCCACTGTGCCACCTAGCCGCCCCCTCACTCAACCTACTGTTAACAGTGAAGATAAAAATAAAGATGAGACGGTCCTTGCCCTCAGAGATCCTACAGTCTTCCGGGACCAAGGACAGATATACAGATAAGTGAATAAAGCGCACAGACAAGAGAAACGTTCATCCATCTCAGTGGAGCAGGTGAAGACGGAGAGCGTTGCAGGCACAGAGAGGGGAGATGCGGCTTTTCAGGCGGCAAGAGGGAATACTGCACAGATCGGCACCGAAGGAGGTCTGAGTCCACAACAGAGACCTTGGGAATCAAACTCCCTGCATAATGAATGTAAAGTCCTCGACGGCAGGGACTCTCGTTACAGGTACCTGCGTAAACAAGGAATGTCACATCAAACTGGGACAAGCTCGCCACTTGGAGAGGGCTTACAGCCGGGGGGAGCTGGTAAATGTTTAACAACCAGCTCTCCAAGAAAAGTACGTCCAGGGCTTTTTGGTTTTAATCTGCATTATGAACATTTTCTCTACCACTTTCTTAAGCCCAAACAGCAGACAAAACAATAGACTGAAGTGTTAACAGATGCACCAGATTCCTGGGGTGTAAATACTCACCCTGAAAATCTAACAGTCGGCTCTGGGGAACCCGTAGGACCTGGCTTCCGCACAACCCTGGCCTTATTAATTTATCGGAACAAATCAATCAAAAGTACATTGTTGTCAGCACGTGTTTTTGTTCATGAGGAGATTGCAGATGCCTGGTGTGCCACTAAGCATTTTAGGAAGAAAACCCTATAGTGATGTAAATATGACCAGTTTTCAAGGGGCAAGGAAAAGGATCTTGTTTTCCCAGCCAACCCAATGAACCGTCATGGCAAAACTGCCTACGTAAAAGCACCAAGGGAAGGAGAGGGAAAGAGGGAGGGAGAGAATCAGCATTTATTAAGCACTTACTATATACCAGGCGCTATGCCAAACGCTTTATAATTACTATCTCACTTGAAACCCACAACCCTGGGAAGAAGGTGCTTTCATGATCCCTGTTTCACAGCTGAGGAAACTGAGTCAGGCGGACAGTAAGTGACTTGCCCAGCTACTAAATCCGAGGCAAAATTTGAATTTGTATTTTCCTGACCCCAGACCTGGTGCCATGTGGTGCCTAGGAGTGGGTGGCATGAAAGGGAGGACTACCCATTGAAGATGTGACCAATGAAGGCTGACCAGCAGAATCCCTCAGTACAGGGCTGTGTGAGCCCAGGTGACTTCACTGGTTTGTTCAAAGTACTAAAACTAAAATAAACATGTAAACAGGGATACATAAAGGTCTCAATCCAAATATATTTTTCCAATATCTATAAATTTGGACAAATTGGCATTAGAGGAGCAAATGTAAAGGCCCAAAGTTAGTCCTGTGGGGCGGCAGGTGTTCACACGACTCATAAATATCAGAGAAGTCCAGTAAAAAATAAAGTAAGCCTCAAACAGCAACTGGTTCTATACTCCCTGTTTTTATTTACTTTACACTTCTGTCTTTCTGTACTTAAAGCGGGCTTGTGGAAAAAAGGACTCAAATACAATGAAAGCTGAATAATGTTGACGTGTTTCCAGGTTGCCTTTATTTGTAATCAGTGGTTTCCTTGCAGAGTTCGGCTTAAATTAGAAATGTGCATTAAAAAAAACACCCAGGAGGACCCCTCTTTCACCCTTCTCCCTTACCCCCCCCAAAAAAAACCCCAAATCCTTTAAAAAACCATGGCCACTGATGGGTGTGTCTTCTGAAGCCCTTTTGTAAAAACAAAAATAAGTTGTTTCCAAATGATTGAGTTTCCACTGTGAAAACAGCAGCGTTTAAGAAAGGTTCAACTCAGTTTCTATCCCGAGAAAAATGGCAAAAAAAAAATCAGAGGCAGGCAGAAAACCAACCTTCAAATGAGCAGTATAGAGTGTGAGTCATCAGCAAAGCAAGCAGGCTGGAGACCCCCACCTGACCCTCAGCCTGGAAGGCTAGGCACATCCCTCCCTCCCCCCATCCCCCCATTAACAGAGCTTTCCTACTCAAGGGCCCTTCTATCCACTGGGCTGACAGCAGACCATGCCACATGGCCATCCCAGGAACTCAATAACCAAGACGTGTAAGGGTCAGGGGATGGAGCTGCTTACTCAACATGGCATGGCAGGAAGTAAGCAATTAGGACGCACAGGAGAAACCACAGAGCCCATGGCCTCCCCAATTCCCACCCCCACCCCTAACACCCCCCCCCAAAAGGATGACATGCTCTATGGACCAAATGCATGCCACATGGTCAGATAGAGTCAATTCACTGCCATTTTGACATGAAGTTGACTGCCAATAAGGAATTCCTATTTTAAGTGAAAAAAGTTTTAGGCAAAGTGTAAAATAGAAAACTTTGACCTTCATTCATAAAAACGTACTCCTATCAAGCAAATGATTGGCGGTACATACACGTCACATTTGCATGTGTAATAATAATGCCCAGTCTACATCTGAATATGGTACATATGTGTTTGAGTATAAGCCATGAACACAAAGCTCACACCTACGTACATATGTGCATGCGTGCACGCGCACACACACACACACACACACACACTCTCTCTCTCTCTTTCTCTCTCAGGTACATATACATGCATATATCCCACTAACAGCCCCTGAGGATCCAACTGCATGTTAGTCTGGAGGGTCATTACAGTGTATGACTTGTCTCTCCTTAAAAAAAAAAAATTCTAACAAAACAAAACAAAAAAAGAAACACTTTGCCCCTTTGAATATCCCAACAGAACTTAGCCAATACCGCCTGAACCTCATATCTGGCACCTTTTAATGCCTATTTTGGAAGAACACTGCATCTGATCCTCATCACTGGACGTTCAACAGAGGCTCCACATACATCCAACCTTCACCCTAGAAAAGAACAAGCGAGACGTTACACAGAGACGCTGCCGAAGAAGGACTTAGCGGAGGCAAGGGAGAGGCAGGGAACGATTGAAAACAGAACAATCCTAGTGACTACCTAGGAACTAATGTCACGGCATCAAAACCGGAGGAACGGAGAGCTGGGAGGAGGGACCGCAGGGGCCAGGCCATCCTGGGACGAGTGGTCAGGGAGCTTCTGTCACAGACAGAGGACCTCAGAAGACACCGAGTCCAGCCCCACAACCATTTTACAGATCAGGAAACTGAGGCCCAAAGAAATGGACTGACTTTTCCAAGGTCACATAGGCAATAAGCTGCAGAGCTAGAATGCAAACCCAGGTCCCCAAACTCCAAATAGAGTTTTATTTCCACAATACTACTGTTAGCAGCACAAGTGAACAACTACTAGGGTTTTCAGTAAAATGTCTGTCAGTCATTTTGAGGACTGGGTAGAGAAACTCAATCACTTCCATCAGAGTATAAGCCTCTATGAGGCAAGGACTGTTTTGGTTTTTGTCCAAGCTTTACAGATGCGTCTTCAGGAGGTTTCCGAGTTCTGCTCTTGACCCTGCCATATCTGATTGTCAACCCGTATACAAGCATTTATTAAGTGCCTACTGTGTGCCAGGCCCTGAGGAGACGGAGATGAAAAGGAAGTAGCCCTGCCCTCAGGGAGCTTACATTTTGTGAGCAGACAGAGAATACACACCAGCCCAATGCCAGGTTATGGGGCGTGGCGGTGGCACGAGAAGAGGGGGCAGGTGGGGCCTTATGGCCTCATGCCTTTGGGGGCAATTCCCTTCAAGCTCCCGGGCTCTCATCCCCCTTGCAGGAGGTGGGTCTGAACCCTGTGATCCCCGGAGGCGCTTCTCCCCGTGACGCCCAAAGTATATCCTCCAAGCTCCCTGTGCTCCGACATCCCGAGATGCTCAGTGAGCCCTCAAAGCTGCTCGTGAATGCCAGACTTCGGGGAAGCCCGTCACAGCTGCCTTCGGAGAGTCGCAGAATCTGAATCCAGTTCAACCCACACCTGAACAGGACTCCTTCCGTCAGGTCCCTGACAAGGCTCTGCTTGAACACTTCCAGGGATGGGGAACTCACTCCTCTGCAATGCAGCCTGCTCTACTGTCTCGACTGATAACAAGGTGGTTTCGTTTTTTTCGGGACCGAGTCCCAAGTGCCTGGCATACAGCCGGTGCTCAATAAATGCTTGTTAACCGATGGACTGAGTGTAAGAGGAAACCCCAAGACTCACGCGCTGGATCCCTGGGCCGCTTCTCTTGCAGGAGGGGCGAGGGCACCGAATGCTCCTCCTGGTGGTGTGGATGACCCCGTGTCCCTGTGGTAGGACAAGGGCCGCCTGCCTGTTGCCTGGGACCCTGGGGACCCAGCTAAGATTCTGCTCCACAGGGGGTGGCTAGATCCAGATCTTACCACTACAGCCATAGACCCAGAAGGGTCCAACTCCCTCATTTGGCAAACGAGGAAACTGAGGCCCAGGTGAAGGGACTTCTCCAAGGTCACAAAGGCAGGAAAGGTGAGAGGTCGCATTTGAACCCAGGGCCTCTGACTTTCCCGTACCACTGTCTCACTTGATAGGGCACCTGGAGGTTTTCTACACAACAGCTCCAGAGGCAGGGCCACCTAGCATTCGAAAGCGGAGCAGAGCCAGCACTGGAACCCAGGTCTTGGGTGTACAGATCCAGTGGTGCCGACACGAAGTCAAGCTGCCTTCCTACTTCGGTCCCACCAGGGACGACCCTGCTCAGAGCGTCTCCTCGACCGGCTAAGTCCTGACAACTGGAATCCTGACCCTGCCACTAAACCGGGCCCGGGGCCTCAGCTGCTCTCTGACCCAGGCTGGCACCACAGACCTTCTGAAGCCCAAGGACGTGGATTCCAGTCCTGCCTCTGGCGCTCACAGCCCGCTGGGCTGCTCATTCCCCCCTGTAAAATGAGGGGTTGGGCCACATGGCCTCAGGGGGCCCTTCAAGCTCTGGATGGAATGTCCTCGGCCCCACACCCAACCAGAAACGCCCCTTCACCCCAGCCTTGGCCTTAAAGACCTCCCATAAGGAGGCGCGCCCCCCGCCACTTTCCAAGCAGCCCTCCTAAAATCCCTCTTCCCCTTGACAGGCCTACCAAAAACCTGAATACACCCTCCCCCACCCCCAATTCATCATGCTATGGCAGAGAAAAGGATTTGGAGTCAGAGGTCCTGGGTTCAAATCCCGGCTCTGGCCACTTCCTAGCTAAGGGAGCTTGGGCGCGTCCCTCACCTCCAAAGGCCTCTGTTCCTGGTTCGATGTGATCCCCTCTGAGTCTGATTCGAGGGTCCTAAGGCCCCCTGCCCGCCCCCTCCCTCCTCCAGGTCTCACGCTCTTTCTGTGGCCGGGCCGCGGAGCCCAGTGTCCCCCTCTGTGAAATGGGCAGAGTCCCCTCCCCCACGTCACCTGCTTGATAAAATACTTTGGCTGCCACTCGCGGCTGACAGCCGCCCGCTGCTGCTCCTCCAGGCGCTGCCTCTCCTCCAGGCGCTGCTTGAACTCCGTGGCTGAGCTCATGTCGCCCAGCTTGATGGCGTTGGTCACCTGGCGCCACAGGTTCCTGGAGGCACACGGGGTGGTCAGGCCCGGCCCAGCCCCCGCCAACCTCCGCCCTCGCCACCCCAAACAACATCTCATTTCTGCTCACGCACCCAAGAGCGACCGCTCCAGAGGGCAGGGGCCGTGCGTCTCTGGCGTAAGACTTCTTGACCAGGGTCACGAGGAGGCCCGGAGGTCCCGGGAGGGCGTCCTCCTCGGGTCCCAGCTGCCACCCAGCCCTGCACCCACGTGGACACAGGCACGCGGCAGGCCCAGGACCAGCTGCAGACCTGCCTCCTGGGCATCCCCTCAGACGCCCCCCAGCACCTCGGATGGTGCCCAGCCCATGGCGGGTGCCCAGTTATTGCTGGATGAGTCGAGCTGCCTCAGACCAGATGATCCCCAAAGCCCCTTTGTGTGTGAATGATGCCTCATCCTGCCTGAAATCCTCAGTGACCCAGTGAGGAGGGGCCTCAGACAGCCCATCTGTAAAATGGGAATAAGGCCAGCACCTTCCACCCATTTCAAGCAACGGTGAGGATCAGATGATGCAAACTGTAAAGTTTGACAGAAATGCTCTCCACTTTAACCGGGGAAGGCGATGAGGACAGAACGTCCTGCCACCTTCTCTGTGCTTCAAAGACTCTGAAAACTGCAGTGACTCGCCCAGGGTCACGCCACCAGTAGGGGTCAGAGGCAGGATTTGCACTCTTCCTGACCAGCACTCACACACGATGCTGCACTGACTGTTGTTACCTGTGCCTCAGTTACCCCATCTGTAAATAGGGGGGCGGGCTTAGACCCAATGGCCTCTGAGGTCCTTTCTCGTCCTGGATGAAGGACTGCATGAGACTGAGGGGCAGGGCCAGGGACAGCTGGGTGCCAATCCAGCCTCTGACATGTTCTAGCCGTGTGCCTGCCCCGGGGCAGGTCATTTGAGCCCCAGCGTTCTCCTCTCTAAAATGGGGATAATAATAATAAAACTTAATGAAGGATCAAAGGGACTCATCAATGTAAAATGTTTTGCAGATGTTCACGTGCTGTAGAAATACATAATTATTAATTTTTTTTGTTTGTTTTTTGGCGAGGCAATTGGGGGTTAAGTGACTTGCCCAGGGTCACACAGGCAGTAAGTGTCAAGCGTCTGGTCTGAGAAGACCAGATTTGAACTCAGGCCCTCCTGACCCCAGGGCTGATGCTCTATCCACCGCACCACCTAGCTGCCCCTACATAATTATTAATTACTGATCATCATCATTATCACTGTTGTTGTTATAGAATGGACAATGAAGCACAAGGGGAATGATGCAGCCTTCTACCTCTGCAGGCTCCTCAATGGTTGGGGCCCTATGGACCCCAGAAGAGGCCTCCCCAGCTGTCCCCCCAGTCACGTGTCACACGCACACGCGTCTGCTCATCTCACCCACCTGGACTCCATGGATCCTTGTTTCTCAATGGGTCGGACTTTCTTTGGGTAGACGGGCAAAGAGGCTGTGTTGACCAGTTTGGTTTCTCCACTGCTGTACGTAAACTCCAAGATGCCGTTCCATTCGCCCTGGGCCTTGCACACGATGGTGTTGGTGGGTTTGTGCTTCACTTCTGCCGTGACTCTAAATTCAATCAGACACCAAAGTCAATGCACCTCCATCCCCCTCCACGGGAAGGGGCACGAGGAAGAAAGACCACAGGACTTAATCATGGTGGATTTCTTTCCAGACTCTATCACTTGCCTATCATCCCCTTCACCGTGCAGCTCCTGTGATCCCAAGGATCGCCCCACGAGTATTTGTGCAACGTCAGGAGATCTGGAGCAAGGCTCCGCCATCTTGGGTGGAGATAACCTATGAAGATTTACAGTAGGACCCACTGGGCAGACATGGAGAGGTTGTAATCTGAACCACTGGAAGGACTGCCTACTTTGATGAGAACCCAGATCTACTGAAAAACTGATGTCATTTTCCAAATGAAGAATCTGCTATATTTTAATAACAAAAAAGGTGAATGAGTAGTCTGATCCCTTCATTAAAAAATAACAATTCACAGTTTGGGTCAAACATGGGCTCTACTGATTATTTATAGTGTGACCTGGAGCAAATCCTTTCATCTCTCTTGGCCTAAGGTTCCTTCTAGCTCTGTTCTTATCACCTCTTTGGGCCTCAGTTTCCCTTTCAGTAAAATGAGTGGGTTGGCTTACATGGCCTCTAAGGTCCCTGCCAGTTCTAAGGCTCTGATCCTATGACTTCTCTGGGCCCGTTTCCCTCTCTGTAAAACAAGGGGGATGTGTCAGATGGTCTCCCTTCCGGCCCTAGAGTTATGATTCTATGCTCTTGACCAAGATCATATTAAAAATGAGGCAAAAGATGCAGTCCACACGCCTTGGCCTCAACACGCAGCCATAGATCAAGGCCTCTTCCATCTCAGCAGCAGCTCTGGATGTGAATATGAAACCTGTCTTTAAAGACTCTTAGGGACCTCTCTGACCCTTCATTTCTTCTGCCTCTCTCCCATCATCTGGAGGAAACCCTAGATTTAAAACAAACCCATTCCCAAAGATCCTTTCATGCTACTCGGATCCCCTGGGGACCCAGGGCATTCCAAAGTGGCCCCATGCAAGAGTGAGGTCGACTCCTTCCACCAGCTGCCCGAGATGCCATCAAGAGCTGTCTGACTCATTTTACAGAAGACGAAACTGAGGCAAACAGGGTGAAGTGACACAGCCAGGGTGTCACATGGCCAGTAAAAGTCTGAGGCTGGATTTGAACTCTTGAAGATGCGTCTTTCTGACACCTGGCCTGGCACTCTCGGCACCATGGCGCCACCTAGTGGCCCCCATCAACTGAGAACTGCTCATAATGAAACAAGGGCCTGGCTTCAAAACGAGTAACCACCAATCACCACCAATCACCACCAAGCTTTCTCATCCAAAAGAATTAACTTCTTGGGTGGATTGTCTCAGAGAAGACAAATTATGGACAAAGTAAAAACAAAAAACACACACAACTTTACTTTCATGTAATTCATAGAACAGACTCATAAAAACAACCAAAGAGTTGACTTGATTTCCAGTTTGAAAGAAAACATTGAATTCTCCCACAGGGACGGACCGGCCACAGTGGCTCTAAAGGCACTGGCGGCAGTGTGGACAGGGACTAGAAAACTGGCCTCAGGAAGCCCTGGGTTCGAGTCCCGCCCCCTCCCCCAAGAGACGTATTGCTATGTAACCCCAGACAGTGTTCCAGGCCCTTCTCTGAGACTGTGCACGACATAGAAGATGCTGATTTGCATGAGCAGAGGGGTTCTCCTCACCCAAAGGCCCAAATTTATGACAGGAAGCAGTTAACAACCAGGTAACATCCTACAGAGAATATACATGAGAGTCACAGAATGCAGAAACTGGAAGGAGAAAAAAACAACCACCCAGAACAGTCCTATTTGGTCCCTTTTGTTTTACAAATGAGGAAACTAAGGTCTGGCCTCTGATCCTAGCATTCCTCAGGAGCGCTGGGTCTCCATTTCCCCATCTTTTAATGAGGGAGTTGCCTCCGAAGACTGGAGTCTCCTCCATCACAATCCACAGAACGGGGTCATCTCTTTCAATGCCAGCGTCCTCAATTCTTGCCGGCGGATGAATACGTGAAAAGGGTATCCCAACAGACTCACAGTTAACTAAGGAGACTGGGATATGAGAAAGGTGGAAAAAAAAAAAGATGGCCTTTCATGAAGGGGCTGGCAGAAATCCCTGCTAACAAGATGATTCGTCTTCTTGAGTTAAATAGTAGGTCACGCATCAGAATATTTACCGCAAGCAATCTGATCTCAATTTCCATTCTGAGGGACTCAGCGGCATTTGGAAAACAGATGAGAAGCAATTCTTTCCTAGGCCAACTGGGATCCCAGCTTGAATGGAGGAGAGTGAGGAAGATGGGCAGGGAGGGAGGGGGACACAAGATAAAACAATGTCTGGGCCTTGGGGAAATGAGCCAGAGCCCGGCCTGGTAACACCAAGGTAGGCCTGGCCCTTCTGGTTCTCCTACCTGTGGATTTTGCCTCCATAGAAAGGCTTGGTGTGGAAGGTGACCAGCGCAGTGTAACCAGTCTTGGCGCAATCCATTGTGACTTTCCCGCCAAGCTCCACCCACGGGATGGTCAGAATTGAGCGGGCATAAGCGCTAGGCAGCGTGAACACGTAGTCTTCCCCATGGTCCAAAAGCCGCAGAACACCTCAAGGGTGAAAACATTGAGAAGAGTTAGATGTGGCCTCCCCAAAAGACCCAGAACTGTTAGGACCCATCCGTTCATATGGATGGTCAGTGCTCTCTAAAGAATAAAACTATTCAAGGATGGAGAATCTAAGGAAATGCTCTTTTGGTATCTTGGGGAGCTGTAATTGCATCATGTGCGTATTCTCTTGATCCATGAAGATTGCAACCCATTTATGACTTAGTAGTAGTAATACCACTAATGTTAATAATAACAATAATAGATAGCTAGCACTTACATAGTGCTTTAAGGCTCGCAAAGCATTTTATATTTTCTCATAACAACCCTATGAAGCAGATGCTCTTTTTACCCTCATTTTGCAGATGAGAAAACTGAGGCTGAAAGTGATTAAATGACTTGCCCAGGGTCACCCAGTAACAGTTTAAGGATAGATTCAAACTCAGGTCTTCCTAACTCAGGGTCTAACACTGCACATATTATGCTACCTAACTATAAAAAAATACTAAGTGGTCTTTCAGAGTTGCTATGTCTGAAAAGGGCCCCGCCCTGTGACCAGCTTGGTGCTGAGCCCCTCAGAACTCAGCTAGGCTTGTTTTAAGAAGACGGGTTGGAAAGCCCATCACTGGACCTTCTGCCCACTACAATCAACTCTTTAGGCCTTATCATGGTACAGGGAGGACACTGGGATTTTGAAAGCCAGGCCCGCAGACCTCCAGCAGATTCCACCAAGCCAAAAAAAAAATACCCCAAGGAAGGAGACAGAAAGAACATCTGACGTCAGCAGAGGTCAAGACTGGCTGCAAGAGTCATCCTAACCTGCATACTTCACATAGCAAACAGCTGCTCCGGCTTCAGTCTGTCGGACCAGTCCCACCCACAGCTCCAACACCAACAGCTTTCGCTAAACAACGTGATTCATCACCAGATAGCCTTTAATTAGAAGAAACCACCTAGTTCAAGCTGTTAGTTTGTAATTTTACAGATGAGGAAACTGAGGCCCAGAGTGGTCACAGTAAAACACACGGAGAAAGCAGCAAGGGTAGGGAATCTGCAGCCTCAAGGCCGCTCTAGGTCCTCAAGGGCGGCCCTCTGACTGAATCCAAACTTCACAAAACAAATCCCCTTAATAAAAGGATTTGTTTAACATACACTAGCTGTGTGACCCGGGCAAGTCACTTAACCCCATTGCCTAGCCAAAAAAATAAATACATATATAAATAGAAGGATTTGTTCTGTAAAACTGGGACTCAGTCAAAAGGCCGCACCCAAGGACCTAGGAGGCTGCCCATGACCTCGAGGCCCCCAGGTTCCCCACCCCTGAGTCAGACAAACCTTTAAGCACCCATCAGATACATGTGCTAATTATCACCAGAGATACAAAGACAGAAAGAAGGAAGAGCCTGCCCTCTGGGTGCTTACCGGAGGCTGGGGAGGAAGGAGGTGAGAGGAGAACAGAGAATGATGGGAAAACAGGTAGGCAACAAAACAATACGTAGAACATGACAGGGCCAGAAGGTGATGAAAGGGGAGAAAACGCTTTAGCCGGGCAGAATTCCAGAAAGACTTTATGAAGGCTGAAGTATCCAAGATGGTACACGAAGTAAGAGGTGGATTCCGGAAGGCTGAGATGGGAAGGGAAGACAGCCCCAGCACCAGATCTTCAGAGACCATGCCAAGCCACCAAACCCCACCTCTGCGACCAGACCAGGCTCCTTCACCCAGGCCATCTTGCCACCTCTCACTCTGGAAAGGTAATCATTTCAACTCTACCACCCTTTCTGGAAGGGGTATATCACACAAAACGCCACTCCCTATTCAAATGTAAGCTCTTTGAGGGCAGGGGCTGTTTATTTATTATATTTACATTCCAAGCAAGGTGCCTGGAATATATCAATTAATAAATGTCCTTTCCATCCATCCATCCATCCATTCATTCTTGGCAACCAAGCAACCTGTGCTAATACACAGAGACAAGTGAAGGCAAGACAGGACTAGGGAACAGCTAGTAGTCCTAGCAACCCAATTTGTCTGGGATGCAGAGTATGATGTTTTTATTTTCTTTTTATAGGTGCCAAGGATTTGGGCATTTGGGGATTTTGTTGCTTTTATTGTTTTGTTTTGTTTGCATTTTTCTCTCCTTACCCTTTCTTCTTCCAAAACATTGTTTGCTAGGTGCATTTGGCAGCTGGAGGGATCATCTCACACACTACCACTTAAAGACCAGAACGACAGCCATGTAGAAGACTCTTCCTACTCCTTCAGACTACACACCAGGAATTCCTCAGCAGTAGCAGGGATGTGGAACCAGCGGCCTTGAGGCCACATGGGGCCCTCTAGGTCCTCAAGGGCGGTCCTTTGACTGAATCCAAACTTCACAGAACAAATCCCCTTCATCAAAGGATCTGTTCTGTCAAACTTGGACACTGAAAAGAGTTCAACGAACCTATCAATTAATCAAGCAAGCAAGCTTTTACTGGGCAGCTGAGCCATAAAGGAAGGTGTAGGATACATCCTCGTCTGTAGATATCCAAAGCAGGATCAACTCCTCTTTGCCTAAGATGACTTAGAAGTAGTCCCTGCCAAACTCTGGTGTTTCTGTGAACAAAGGAGAAACAGAGCAGGGCGGCCAACTGTCCAGGACTCGTCAAAGTCTCTTCTTGACCTTTTAATTCCATTCCAGCTATGAAATGAGCTTCTTTTGGGATGTCCGCACTTGGCCTGCCCACTGAGTCACCGTGACTTAAGAAAAGGACGCATCCCTTTGGGGCCCCTTAGAAATTAAAAGGGACAAAAAATCCCTAGGATTTTACAAATGGAATTTGCCCATTAAGTCACCCAGCAACAGTCTTAGTGCTTACATACCCCCTTTTCATTATGTTTTTTTTAATCTGTCCTCATCTGGAACATAACATAGAAAATGTATTTCAAATTATATTCATCAAAAGAACGGCAAATTAACATTCTGTCTTAACTGGCACCCACTCTGAGCAAGCTGAAAGAAGAGCGATCAGTCAATCATCCCCATCTATTGTCCAGGAGCCTGCCCTTGGCATGCCATGAATCGCTTTAGCAGTCAGCAAAATTGCCAGCCATTCAAAGATGCAAACTCATTAAGTCGGAGAAAATACTGACTCCAGTCATTCCCTCATCAGGTGGTGGTGAGCAAAAACCTTAATTAAAACAGGACCTAAAGGAGAACTGCTCTGGATCAGGGAATTTAGACGCCAGACCTCGGCGCCGGACGGTACGTCGGAGGTCACCTAACCCAACTCACACCCAAACAAGAATCCCTCCTGTGGTGGGCCAGCCAGCCTCCGTGGCTCTTCAGCCGGTGCCAGGTGGATCCTCCTGCCTCCCCCTGGCAAACCCTACTCCACCTCTCTGAGACTGGCAACCCCTCGCTCCCTATGCAGACCTCTGGGACCAAACAAAATGAGTTTAATCCTCTCCTCCGGCTCAGCCCTCGGATAGAGCAGCTTTCTTCCTGGAGGGCGGCATGGTGCTATGAAATCTGGGTTCAAGTCCCGGTCTGCCACTTCCTGGCTGTGCTGTCTTGGGCAAGCCATTCACCCGTCTGCTGGACTAGATGCCCTCTCTGGTCCTTGTGGGCTCTAAATCTACGCTGCCAAAAGACTCATTCCACTCTAGGCCTTTCCTGGTGTCAGTGCTCTGTCCCTTGAGATTGCTTTTCATTTATGCGTGTGTGTGTGTGTGTGTGTGTGTGTGTGTGTGTGTGTGTGTGTGCACACGCGCGCATGTATGTATGTGTGTGCATTTTTGCACACACATGCACGTAGCGGGGTACGTAAAACGTAAGCTCCCTTAGAGCAGGAATTGTTTGATTTTTCGTCCTCTTCTAGCACCGCACCTGACGTACATTAGATGCCTAGTAAATGACTGGTGAATGGCCCAGTGGATGGTGATATTGAAGGGCCTTTCCCTTCCGTGGGTTTACTCCATTTCTCCTGTTTCCCAGACACAGGATCAGCTAGGAGGATGAGCCATTTACCAAGCCCTCACTGATGGGAATTCAGGTTGGAGAGATGCAGAGGGCGGGGCATGAGCTGCAAGCCTGTGGGGGACTCTGGATCTCTCTTCTTTCGGCCTTTCCCAGAGATTATGGAAGAACAGCGTGGCAATGGCCAGATTGTGGGACAAGGACGCTGCCTGAGCGCTAGGTCTTCCTGCCCTGGGGCAAAGGGCTAGCCACCACTACGTCAATGAGAGCAGACTCTGACGTTGGCCCAGCGGAACACGCTGAAGAACTGAGTTTTATCATCCATTGAGGGCTACAAACACATACCATGAGCCTTTGCCACTAAATTCCCACAAACACTTCAGGGTCCCAATTCAACAATAATCAGAAAGTCCTAGAAAAATAATCAATAACGATACTAACATTTATACAGTGCTTTAAGGTTTACAAAGCACTTTACAAATATCTTATTTTACCCTCACAACAACCCTAGGAGGTAGGTGCTTTTATTTTTCCCATTTTATAGAAGAAGAAAGTGAGGCAAACAGAGGTTAAGGGACTTGTCCAGGGTCACACAGCCAAGTGACTCCAGACCCAACCTCCTACCCACCGTGCCTCCTCGCTTCCACTGGGAAGGCCTCCAGACTCTTGGGTGAATTACGGATGAGAATCCCACAGGATAAGATGTGCGTGAACGGTGATGGACACCATTACCACTGCAGGCAGCAAAGACAAAAACCACCAGTCCCTTAGCACATCCTGAAGCAACGTAAAGAACCGTGTTCAGATTCAAACAACAATTGCACTTTAGGATGGAGGAGACCCGACCGTGCAATACCTCCCCTGAAAAAAGACTTGGGTGCTCGGGTGGCTACAGCTCAGCATGGGACCACAGAACGTGGAAGAGGGCGAGCCGCCCTTCAATAACTTCATAGGCTGCGCTCCGAACCACGCAACCCGGCCCCAGGCTGGGGCAGGTGGAAGGGATCCAGCCCAAACCAAGAAGGTTCCCTACCACAAGATGATGGCTTTCTGCCCGAAGCGCAGGACACAGAGCCCAAACAGCCAACATAATCTGAAGAGGCTCTGACACCAGGCCGGAAGAATCTCCTTCCTTGGCTTCAAAGGAACGAACGGCCACACTCGCCCAGTTCCCCTCCAATCTCTCTGACCACTACCTCTCCATCTCCTCCAGGACCCTTTCGCTAATCACTTACTCATGCAACATTAATCAATAGACCCTTATTAAGCACCTACTATGTGCTAGGCTCTAGTCTTCCCCTTAGCAATCTTACCTACCTCAGAGGCTTGACCTCCATGCAATTAATTCCCACATTTTATTTCATTCCTGACCTTTTGAACTCGAGACAGCTGACAATATATGGAGTACTTAAAGATTTTTAAAGCACTATATATACTCATATATATACGTACATACGCATCCTATCATGGAATCCTTACAGGTAAGGAAACTGAGGCACAGAGATGAAATGACTTGCCTGTGGTTATACACACAGGACTGAACTCACATTTTTACTGACTCCAAGCCCAGCGTCCCCAGCACAAGTCCAAGAAACCTCTCCAGTGACATGTCCAACTGCCCACAGCAGTCTGTGGACAGATTTCGGGAGACTGTGACCTTGAACGGAGAAAAAAAAATTCACCTTTATCTTCACTAACATTGGCTTCCTTTGTGATCAATCTGCATTTAAGAACTTTCTTCTTAGAAAAGGCCTACAGACTTTACCAGACTGCCTGCCACAAAAACAGAGAACTTCTGATCTAAATAAAATATACATCTCCCCCCGTGCTCAGCATCACAGTAAGCAGTATGTAAGTATTTTTTGAACTGAACAGAAACAGAAAATTCATACGTGCCAAAAGCCAAATCCACCAACTTGGGAACCTTCAAAACATGATCATAAAGTCATTTTAAAAGCAGAAATGCAGCCTATACAGCCTTTAAAACTACATGAATCCAAATCCTGAAAACTTACCTGATCTGTATACAGAACACATGCTATTTGTTTAGAAAAGGCCTCGAAGGGGTGGTCACAACTGGTTTTTCTTTGAAGTTGGTCGTGAATAACATGAGACTTCTATGAGAGTCCAGCCTGTCACTGGGGAGAGCATTCTATCCTGGGCGGCTCCTGGTAGCTCTGTTTTACCTGGCCCAATCCAACCCCACAAGCATTTATTAAGTGCTTCCAAAGCACTACAGACACAGACACAAAATGAAAAACAGCCCCTGCCCTCAGCAAGCTTCCATTCCACTCTGGGGGGCAACCAAACAAACACATAGCCCTGCATGATCATGGGATGACTGGCTTGGAGATCTGGAAGGGCGGCTCCTAGGAGAAGGACGGCATGAAAGCCCGTCTGTTAAGCGTTCACCACGTGTCAAATACCGTCTGCCGCGCTGGGGATTCAGAGACAAAAACGGCGCATGAGCAGAAGGAAGCTCGGGACCCGATAAGGCAGAGACGGGGAGGGACAACACCCCAGAAAGGGGGACCAGCCAGGGCTGGCCGGAGCAGTCTAGTCGATTCGAGGATCACACAGCAGGGTCTGCTCACAGCAGCCTCGATCACGCAGGCAGATACACAAACGACTCTGGAACACCGGGAAGGGATCGCCATCTCCTTCCACTGCACACGCTTCCATGAAGCGACGTATTTTTATAGCCCAGAACTGAGAAGAATGACCATTTTATACGTTGCCCCGTCTTCTCCGGCTAAGGATGAGGTCATCAAATACAGTGTGAAAATCGTGGAGACGCACCTACCCAGCCCAGTCCCGTGAGAGGCAACGAAGTAACATCTGTGCGCGAGGTCACCAGGAGCGAAGAGAACGTGGAACCCCCTCGACAAGGAGGAACCCGCTTCGGCCGCCTTTCAGGCCAAAGATCCCCCGGACACGGGGAGCAGGAGGGACAGTTTGGGATGCCGTCGGCTTAGCACAGTGCCTGGCACACAGTAGGTGCTTAATAAATGCTCATTCTCTTCCCTCCCTCAGCCTAGGATGGAGAAGCAGGGCCTCACCAGCACATCCCAGAACAGGCAAAGGCCCGGATCTGCTGACTCTCTTGGACCAGAGCCAAGATATCACCAACCCAAGGGGAGAAGAGCCTCCCTCGCGCTAGTCAGGCTCCATCAGCAAGGATTACTCTGAACCCAAGAACAGAGGTGAAACCTGGTGAATTTGCTGGTCTGAGTTAAAAAATTCAACATCAGGGCACCTCAGGAGATCTCCTTGTACTTGTGAATAATGCATTTTGAGCTCAGTGTGGTACGAAAGAATGTGTGAGTTCAGGACCTGGAGCCTGGAGCCTGCAGCCTTGGGCTGAAATCTTGGCTTTAAGATTTACCAGCTCCATTGACCCACCTGTAAAATGGGGATGATAACAACAGTGCCGCCCGGCCAGGGCTGTTGCAAAGAACAAATGAGGTGATATCGGTAAAGGGCCTTGGAAACCTTCAAGAACTAGAGAAACACCAACTATCACCATTATTATTATCATAATCATCATCATCATCATCATCATTATTGTTATTATTATTATTATTATTATTATTATTATCATTATCATTATTATTATTATTATTATTGTGGCTGTTGTTGTTGACCTTGGAGAGAAAAAAGGGATGGTGGACAAGCAATACAGACCAGCCATCCTCACCCCACTGTCATACTGGTTATTCAAACCACGAAGGTCTGATGGGAAGGATTGTTACCATTTAGCCCCTCCAAAAGGTGGGCTTCGTTCCCCACGAGTCCAAGCCCTTAGAGACTGTCTGCGGGGTTAACGGTGCAACTATTGTTCTACATGGTTTTTGTAATGGCTCGGGGCCTCTTGTGAATCCTTTTGCACCTGCTTAAAAAATAGGATGAAAATCATGCTGCTAGCAAATGCTCACCACCGTCAGAATACCTGAAATAAAACCTATGTCTGGGATCACTAGGATTCTCCACAAAGAGACTGGAAGCCCCAGCAGGTAAGGGCCTGGGAGTGACCAACTTTCCCTGATCAAAGGTCTGCTAGAAAAGGGGGTCCACTAAACTGTACGTGAGGATCTACGCAGGCCTCATACTGACTTAGGAATCCACATATTAATATTATCTGTGTTCTACTGAATTTTTGTTTCGTTAACTATTTCCCAATTATATTTTAATCTGGTTTAGGTGCACTCAGAAGTGCTGCAGGCTGCACTGTGGCCCACCAGCCACGTATTGGACACCTCTACCTTGGACCACCAAGGACTGGATCTGTGGGGTGACATAAAGGCTGTCCTATACGTGTTTTGTATTGCTACCTTGAATGCTCATGAGGGAGCTGGGCACCTTTGCTATCCACATTTGGAGAAGCCTAACTCTGAGGAACAGTTCAGCTTTACTGTGGAGATCCAGGATGGGGGTGGAATGAGCTGGACACCGTCCTCGGGAGCACAAGGCTTTGGGGATCAGAGGGATGAAAACCAACTTATTCTATTCTCTGACCTTGTCAGGGAATGTCTGCTCTTTCCAGAAATGAATTGGGGCACATATAACAAACATCCTTGCTTCCAGAGTCACAGAAGAGACGTGCCTCAGGACCAGAGATGAGCAAACGCGATCCCGATGCTCGAAACACGGAAACCCACAGAGTCTGACTCTGATTTGGCATTTGCTGATTTGCCGTGTCCACGTTCTGTACGTGCCCTGCATTTACTTATCTGTTACCACTAGAACGAAAGCCATTTTACACCTTTGTCTGGGAATCCTCAGTGCCTCGCACTGTGCCTGGCTCACAGCAGGCAGTGACAAATGCTCACGGGCCGCATTTTCGACCCGGGGAACACCAGACTGTTCTGTCCTCATCATTCAGCTACAAAGAGGACAATGATGGGAAGAGTGTGAGGACACTGGCTGGAGAGAATTTGGTCTCTACTTACATCCCATAAAGCCAACTCTGGTGAACAGAACCAGGGTGCTGATGCTTAGTATACGGGAGCAGCACGTCACGGGAAGACGGCCCAGGCTCGAGCCCAATGCCCCAGGTTCAAATCCCAGCTCCAACACAACCCAGGTGACCCTGGGGAAGTTACCTGACCTCTCCGATAAAAATCAACAAGCCCTGGCAATACCTGGGGCATGAGAAGGAAGAGCTGAGGAAGTCACCAGGGCTGCAAGCCTGGGAGACAGGGAGGAGGAGGGGGCCCTCTCCGGCCACAGGGAAGGGAGTAGGGTTTGGTGGGAAAGGGGATGAGTTCAGATTTCTGAAAGGCAGGTGGAGATGGTCAGCAGAGAGGCTGAGGCTGGATAAACCGATCTGAGAATCATCAGCACAGAGATAAGTGAGTCCAGGGAGAGAAGAAGAAGAGAAAGGGGCCCGGTTGGCGCCCTACAGTCAGGCTGAAGATCCCCCCGAGGCGGCTCAGAAGAAGCAGGACCAGGAGTCCCCAGAACCTACCAATGGCTCGAGGGCTGCGGATGGAGGGAAGCCCGCTGGGCTTTCCAGCTGCTGACTACCCAAGTAACCTGGGGCAAGGGACAATCTCCTTGGGCCTCGGTTTCCTCATGTGTAAATGGAGGGGGTTAGAGTAGAGGATCTCCAGGGTCCCCTTCCCGCTTTCAACTTATGAACCTGTTTCAAATCTTCCTCTCACATTTACTCTCCATACGACCCTGGGTAAGGCCCTTAACTCCCTGGGCTTGTTTCCTCAGCTGCCTTTTCCTCAGTCATAGACTGACAACGATCCTGGGGTCTTAGAGGCTTGCTCATCGTCACCCAGAAAGTGCGGATAATTGGGGATGCTCCTGACACTGAGTCTGACACTCTTCTTTGACCCTGCATTCTCCCGACAATAGGGCATATTTCAAAGACAAAGCCTTTTTGAAAAAGGCAAGGAAAGGAAAGGAAAGGAGTAAAATGCACTTCCCGCTTACGTTCTACGCGCCCCTTCCCAGCCCCATTTCTTACCTTCCCCCACCAAGGACACCCCTATGGACATTCCCATGAATTTGCTCTTCGTCCACACGTAGGTGTTCACAAACATTCCCTTCTCCTTGCACTCACAGTAGAAGCATGACACTGGCGGGTGGTGGGACACCTGCTCGGCCACGAAGGTCAGCTTGTACCGTCCTGACTGGGGCTCGTCAGTGACCGGGGCCTTGGCCTTCCGCTTTCTCGGCAAAGGCTTGACACGGTCCTTGGGGATGTCCCAGGAGCAGTGAAACGTCTCGCCGAGGATGGGGTTGTATGGCTTCTTGGCCACCGTGCCCTTGCGGCCCTCACGGAAGGACGTCAGGTAGTACTCCACGAAGGAGATGGCTCTTTCGGCCGGGGTGGCCCCAGAGCCGATGGACAGCAGCATGTCCGGGTGGGCCATGAAGTTGGCGAACATCTCCAGGAGAGACCTCTTCTCCAAGATGAAGGTGGGGAGCGCGACCTGTGTCGGAAGCAGACAGGGAATTAGCACCGGCAGCCTCACCAGCTTCTCAAAACGCCTACACACGAGCCCCCCTTGGACCTCGAAGCAACTCAGTGACAGCACTGCCCCTACTGTTATCCCCACTCTGCAGACAAGGAAACTGAGGCAGAGAGGCGCTGTGACTCCCAAGGAGAGTCCAGACTCCCCATCTTACAGACGAGGAAACTGAGGCAAAGGGGTGCTGGGACTCCCAAGGAAAGTCCAACCTCCTCATCTTATAGATGAGGAAACTGAGGCAGAGAGGTGCTGGCTCCCAAATAAAGTCCAACCTCCCCATTTTACAGATGGGGAAACTGAGGCTCCAAGCTCTTGCCCAACACTGGACAGATCACAGAACTCTATAATGAGAAATGGAAGGGAACTCAGGGCCTGTCGAGTCACAAGATCATAGACCCATCTCCAAAAGGAACTTCAGAGCCCAGTGAGCCCAACCTCCTCACCCTACAGAAGAGGAAAGCTATTTGTCCACGGTCAGAGGCAGAATTTGAACCCATATCCTCTGACCTGTTCCCGGGCTTTTTCTACAACTCCACACGGTCTCTCCCTCTATTCCTTTCCTTCCCCTGTCAAGACAATCCTCTCTCTCCCCAAATGTCATTTCTCTGAACACACAAGCTTCTCTTGCCTCCCCGCCCCGAGCCTTTATAGATGTGAAGACAGGAGAAAAACCAGCAACAGGAAGCACGATGTCACCTCTTTCCTAACATCAGTTCCAAGCTGATGGATCGGCAAAGTGTCATCGACACCAGAAACATTCATCTTCTCCAGGAGGCTTCAGAGAACGAAGCGAGAGCTTCGGGAGCGGCAGTGTGGTGCAGGGGGCAGGGACGCCCCTCGATTCCATTCAGATGCGCTAAACACCAGGACTATCAACTGTAAGGTCCCTGCCCCTGGGAAGTTCCCATTCAAGCATTAAGGAACAGGGCTGAGATTTTATCTGCTTTATCCAGTCAGATGATGTCACGTGCCCCGCCCCACCCACCTGGTCCCAAAGAATGAAAACAAGGTATGAATGAACGGGTACTGATCCTAGCTTGTCAGGGTCGTCACACTCTGTTTAATCACTACGACCTTAAATCACAATGTTTCAGGGCAAGGATTGTGATTCCTCACTTAACGGACCAGATGCCTCTCTTCTCCTGACATTAAGGTTCCTTTGTAGTCGCAACGCTCAGGCAAGCCCAACCTTGTTTTAAAAAATTCTCTGCCATCTTAGGGTGCTTCTATCCCCCCAGCAGCTGCCTGCTGATCCGTCTCAACGCTCCTGGCAATCCACCGAAGTGGGAGGAATGACATTTATGCCATAAGGCACTAACTGTACTCTCTCTCTCCCCGTCCCCATCCTCCCCATCACTAAACACAGCGTATGACACACAGTCAGTACTCAGTAAATGCTCGCTGACCTGACTTCACTATACCGGCATTCTTCTGAGTCTGGACTCTGACTCGGGACCATCAAGAGTTAAAGGAGAAATTCTGGCCATCAGCAGACTCAGCGGTATCTTTGCTCTTTTTGTGCTAATGCTGTATTTCTGGAGTCTCGAGGTCCCTCATCGAATGGGCTGTGGCTTACTCTGGGGAGGAGGGGGTGGGGGAAGCAGTCCCTGGACTCAGCACTGTATAGACTCACGTTCCACAGGATCCAGCTCAGCCCGTGAGCTTGGATCTAATGAATCTGTGAGACCAGCCGCGGGGAGGGTCAAACCCCCCTTCCTTCTATTTTCTCTAAGCTTTGTCTCTACTCAAGGGAGAATGATGGCCAGGACTAAGGAGACGCTGGGCCAGTGGTCTTGGCTCTGGTCAGACCACATCTGGAACATGGCACCGGCTTCTGGGGGCTGCATCTCAAGGTCATTAATAAGCTGGGAGACACAGGCTCAAAGATCCTACAGCACAGGTCTCACAGATGGACGCAACAGGTAACAAACTCCTGGTTTCCCCATCGATCACCGCTCTAGAACCACCTTGAAAAATGAAAAAAAAAAACAATGAAACATCACCAACACAGGGCAGAGAAGGGCTCTGTCCTGTAGAAAAGGGAAACCTGGAAAGCCGTTTCTGGTGCAGGACCCACACAAGCTGACATGACTCTGAAGGCAGCTAGCTGCCCCATTGGGAGGGAAGGTCCAACCTGAGGGGCCCTGGACCTGACCACAGGCAGCATCCTGCCGCCTCTTCCTCTAGCCCTTCCAAGGCCTCAGCCAGCTACAAAAAAGGGGTCCATCAACACACCTCTTTAAAATAAGTAAATTTTGGGGCAGCTAAGTGGCACACCGGCTCTGGTGTCAGGAGGACCCGAGTTCAAATCCAGCCTCAGACACTTGACACTTACTAGCTGTATGACCCTGGGCAAGTCACTTAACCCTGACTCCCTCCCCTGAATGAATGAATAAGGTGCATGGATCATCCTTTCTTTCCCAGGGTAGCTGCTCATTCACCACAAACACATCATTTAGAAGAGCATTTGCTACTTCATGGTGTGAAACTACATGTGTAGAAGAGACCAGTCGACTCTCCCCAACAAATTTTAAGAAACATCCCCGTCACAAAACAGCCCTTTGTCGTTCGGTTGTATCTGACTCTTCGTGACCCCATCTGGGTCTTGGCAACGACACTGGAGTGGTTGGCCATTTCCTTCTCCAGCTCATTTTACCAGATGAGGAAACTGAGGCAGACAGGGTTAGGTGATTTGCCCAGGGTCACACAGCTAGGAAGTGTCTGAAGTCAAATTTGAACTCAGGTCTTCCTGATTCCAGGCCAGGCACTTTCTCCACTGTGCCCCCTAGCTGCCCCCAATAAAACAGCACTAATTTACCCCCTTAATGGCGACTGCAGGGGCACGTGAAATGAGTAAAAATCACGTTTCTTAGTATTCATGGCCAAATTCCATTATTGGCAGCTGGGATGCACAGTAGAGAGAAGTCTGGGCCTGCAGACAGAAAGATCTGAGTTCAAATCCAGCCTCAGACACTTAGTAACTTACTAACTTAGATACTTACTGTCACAGTGACCCTTGGGAAAGTCACTTAACTCTCTATTTGCCTCAGTTTCCTTAACTATAAAATGGGGGATAATCATAGCCCTACCTCTCAGGGTTGTTGTGAGAATAAAATGAGATAATGTTTTTTAAAGCATTTAGTACAGTGCTTGGCATACAGTAGGCACTATATAAATGCTAATTATTATTGTTGTTGTATTCGCTGGAGTCCTATCTTGGAATGGCAAAAAAGGTTTTTCTTTAAAAATTAGAAGACACAGACAGGCAGCTAGGTGGGGCAGTGGATAGACCACCGGCTCTGGAGTCAGGAGGACCGAGTTCAAATCCAGCCTCAGACATTTGACACTTACTAGCTGTGTGACCCTGGGCAAGTCATTTAACCCCATTACCTAGCCAAAAAAAAAAATTAGAAGACATACCACAATCATGCAAAGATGGAAATAAGGCCAAATCCCAGGCCAGAGGGGAAATGGGGCGTGACAGAGCGAACTCTGGATCTGGGGGAGGAGAGTGGGATGGCAGCCCACCCTCCCCTCTTACCTGGGTAACCCTGGGCATGGATGACCCTAAGCCCCTCTCAGACTCAGCTCCTCCATCTGTAAAATGGCATCATGACTATGGCACCTACTGTAGAGCGTTACTGTTTGCATGGATGCTTCCCAACTCTCAGAGCCACTAGAAACGTTAGCTAGCATCAGTTACTTGAGATTGGCGTCCTCCTGTTTCTCCTAGCTCTGTCTTAGCCTGGGCAGAACACGGCTCATCTTTCTTCCACACGACTGCCCTTCAGATCCCAGGAGACATCCTGGGTGTTTGCCTCCAAGTCCCTCAGGGAAGAAAAATCTCAGGTCAAGAAGAGCTAACTTGGTTCTTCCTTTTTCTTCCTTCCTTCCTCCCTCCTCTTCTTCCTTTCTTTTTTCCTCTTTTTTCTTTCCTCCTTCCTTTCCTTTTTTTCTTTCTTCCTTCCTTTCCTCCTTTTTCTTTCTTCCTTTCTTTCATTTCATTTTTGTAAAATGGCTTTTCCTGGTCCCTTCCGAGGTTTTCTTGGGCTTTATTATTACTCCTTTTACCAGTGCTTTGTAAGTATTAAATCACTTCATCATCTGCTTCCCAGGCATGAGGGCCTGGAACGCCAGGGCCAGGCACCAATAAAACCACCTGCCCAAGACCTGGCGCACGAGTGATAAGGCAGCTGTTGAGATGGGTGGCGTCGGCATGGGTCAACACCACCAGCTCAGTTTTACTGGGCTATCAATAACACTGGCCTTTCCTTCCATTAAGATAATTAACAGAACCAACCTCGACCTTTCCAGAGGAAACGAAAGGGAGCTTTGCCAGAAGCCAGCCCTAAGTCCCGTCAATCAACAGGACGGCGGCTCCCTCATCTCCAGCTGGCTCTGCGCCACGAGGGGATGGCTGCCCGGTCAGAGTCGCTACGGGGCGTGGGGGAGAACGCGGAGGCAGATCGTATATGTAAAGACTTAGCACAGCGCCTGGCACACAGTAGGTACTTAATAAATGCTTTAAAAACAATGCTCTGAGGTTGGTAAAACACTTTTCTGTGCTATCTCTACAGCCCTGTGAGGCAGGTTCCGCTATGATGCTACATGTAAGAAGGTGGCTAGAGGATGGAGCTTTGCTCTCGGAGTCTGGAAGACTCGAAGTCAAATCTGGCCTCAGATACTGCTCTATGTGACCCTGGACAAGTCACTTAACCCATGTGCCTCAGTTTTCTCAGCTGTAAAGTGGGAATAATAGCAGCATCTACTTCTCCAGGTCGTTGTGAGGATCAAATGAAATACTATTTGTGAAGCGCTCAGCAGACTGCCCGGCACACAGTAGGTGCTGTATAAACATTAGCGACCATCGTCATTGTTTATTATTGTTACTATCGTTTTAAAGATGAAGACGCTGAAGCTGAGGACAGGTAAATGACCTGTCCAGAGTCACCCAACTAGTAAGTGTCTGACTCCAAATCTAGCATCCCTGCCACCATACCACAAATCCTTCCTCTGCCCAGATGTCAAGATGTCATCACTCCCTGGACCAAATGGACACCACGTAACTGTCTCCAGACCACCCGTCTGGGAAATCCAAACCTACCCAATTAACACAGCGCTTGGCACAATGCCTGGCATACAGCAGGCGCTTAATAAACGTTTACTGAATAGCACTGAAGGGAGGGGGATTCCTGTTGCAGAGTCACAAGCACCTGGGGGCCAGCTTGTGTGGCCCGAGCAGCTGCTCCCCCAGCTCCTGCTCAAAGCCTCCGGTGAGGGACCACCACCCCCCAACAAAGGGGTCCGGTCATTTTCCTGGGGCTCTAACTCAGTAAGTCTCTTTCCATATGCTTTAAGGGGCCATTCTGCCCCCTCCTCCCATCCTCTTGCCCCTCGCCCTCTGGGACAAGGCTAACCCCTCCCCCGAGGGGAGGCCTTTCCAGTGCTCCAGGCTGATTTCACATCCTCCCCCAGTCTTTTCCAGGCTCTCCACTCCCAGCTCCTTCCACCATCCTCCCACGCTGTGATCTCCCCCTCGGGATGGAGTCACAGTTGTCATGGAGGGGGACCACAGCAGCCTGTGCAAGGGGAGTCCAGGTAGTTAAGGGAAGTGTGGTTACAACCCAAGCCTAGATATGATGGGTGACCGAGGCAACCACCCTCGAAGACAGTGAGGCCCCAGATGACCTGGACAGGCACAGGTGACACACAGTAGGTGCTATATAAATGTTAGCTATCATCATCATGGGTGTCCTCAGTTTCCTCATCTGTAAAACAAATTATAACAGCACTACCTTTGCAGGGTTGTTATGAGGATTAAATAATAACCGCAAAGTAAGCACAGTGCCCGGCACATAGTAGGTGCTATATAAATGTCAGCCATCACCACCGCGTGTTTCCTCAGTTTCCTCACCTGTGAAACGGGAATGATAGCAGCGCCCACCTCGCAGGGCTGTTGTGAGGATGAACGGGGCCAGTATTTGTAAAAGCACTTAGCCCAGTGCCCGGCACACAGTAGGCACTTTATCAGCACTTCTTCCCTTCCCCTACCCTTCCCCCCTCCACCACACCGTGCTACCACTAGACTGCTGGAGCCTGGTCATCCCCCTTTCTCTTCCAAGTCTCAGGAAGCCCAGGACAGCTTTGAGCTGTAGGTCGACTCATGAACACTTATGATTACAGGGCACTGAGCTGCACTCTGGGATACCAAAGACACATAGGGTGTGGATGGTGCCCGCCCTGAAGGCACTTACAATCTAGTCAGGAGAAAGCAGACAAATGATAAAAGCAATCAACAGTTCAAGGCAACACAGGTTAAACGCTACACGGAGGAGAGGGCGAGGTTGAGCCACAGAGGGCTGGAGGAGAGGAGCAGCGCTCGGGGGGATGCCCTAGGGCCGGCTTCAGGCACGAGACGGGACTCGAAGGATGAGTGCTCTAGAGAGGGAAAGTCATTCCACGTAGGACAAACACAAGCCAAGACACAGAGACTTAGTAACCCGACAGGCTGGAAGACAGGATTCAGGAGGAGTCAGAGCGTGCTGCCATGAATCCCTCGGGTTTAGAGCAAGGAGGGGCCGCAGCGATCCCCCTGTTCAACCCATCCATCGGACTGATGAGAAAACTGAACCCCCAAGAGAGGAAATGATCTGCCCGATGCTTCGGCTGAGCTTCTGAGCATGGGCAAGTCTCACCTCCCAACTCACAACTGACAAGTTACACCTGGAAGTGAACGCTCTGCCCTCCCGAGCCAGAGCATCCCACTGAGCACTTCCTCTGTTTGGAGCCTCGGCCTTTGAGGGATGAAGCCCCCGTCCTCTTCAGCCTCTCTCCCCAAGCCTGCCCTCCACCCCCAGACTGGCCAACAGAGAAAGGAAGCGCGCCGGGAGACTGGGGATGGCATACATACCTTGGTGAGGTCCATTCCAAATTGGAGCTGTGAGATCAGGTGAACGACAACGTTGTGGGGGTCCTCAGGCTGCCCTGGCACATCCTCCCCATTCTCCTCGTTATCAGTTTCCTCCTCATTTATCCTAACGTCTTGCAAAGTTGATCCCTGAAACAGAAACATCAACAAATTCTACCACCAGGACAAGAAGGCTGAACCAACATGGCGGGTGGCAGGGCAGGGTGTTCCACGTGGGGACGCACACTACGTTCCCCACTGGCTGGGCCTAAAGCTGGGTCCCCCCAGGGCATGAAGCTCTTCTGTCAGTACAGTTCAGCATAAAGATGACAGGAATCAGGGGCCCAGCTTTGCCACCGTGGTGGCCTTGGAATGCCACCTCCCCTCTGTGGGACTCAACTTCCTCTTCTGTAAAAAGGAGGGGTTGGAGCAGGAGGCCACTAAAGGCCCTTTAATGTGCATATGTCACATTAAAAAAAACCACAACGAGAGCGTAACAGTCTAAATTCCCCTTCGTTGTCTCCATCAACACCTCATCTATTCCTCAGATAAAACAAAGAAACCTACTTAGGGTCAGTTTTCATGATCTTGAACATTCTTTTATATATGTGACCTAAAATTCTAAAAGAAGTAGGCGTTAATGAGTATTCACTCAACACTCAAGGTCCAACTCTTAGCCCACCCCCAACATGATGGGGGACCATCTCGTGACAATCTTACTGGAGGACACCCCGAGTTGCCCAGGATGGGTTAAATGGGTTTCATTCTCTGCCACTGGAAGGAAGTGACCTCGAGTACCAGGCATCCTGGAAGCAGGGCAACGTTGAGAGAAAGAGCACCTGTGAGCGATAAGATCCTTTAGAATGAGGGGCTACTTTCCAAGCCTTCATAGAGGACAGCTGGATGTCCCGGGACGGGCAACAGACACTTACCTAGCACCAGATACAACCCCTCACTTTGGGGCAAAGAGACCTCCCAATGACTGGAGCGTTTCCAGGCACACCCACCTACAGCAACATGGCGGCGATGGGAAAAGTTCCCTGCTTCACAGTTCATCAACCCAGAGATGCTCTCTTGGTTAAGGGAGGAGCTCCAACTTTGGAGGGGAGAACAATCATACCCCAGTGTTTCAGGGAGGGCAGGGCGAATTCCAGCAAGCAAGCCCAGGTTTCTCGGACTCTCTGGGTTGCAAGCCTCCCACTCCATTGACTTGGCTCAAAAGATGGGAAGACTGAGTTTGCAGACCAACAGACAGAGCAAACATGAAGCCGAGAATGCCATGACAAGGAAGTCTCTAGCTGAAGACCACCAGGAATCGGGCCTACTGCCAGGACAACACCGTGCCGTGTTACAGGCTCAGAAGCTCAAGATGTCCCACATGCATGGACCCTGGTACTGCAAGCAGTGGAAAACAGCCCTGGACTTCATGTCAGAGGACCCAGGTTCAAATCCCGACAGTGTTGCCTATTATCTGGGTGAGCCTGGGCAAATAGCTTTCCCTTTCTAGGCCTCCGTTTCCTTCATCGGTAAAATAAGGGAGATTGGCATCTGTGCACTCCACGGCCCCTTCCAAATCTATGTGCCTGGTATCAACTGTGTGTGCATCACATACATACATATTATATATACATACAAGTGCTTGTCTCCCCCACTCGAATGTTCATTTCACATTTTATTTGTGTTCTCACACAATGGCTGGCACTCAGTAGGTGCTTCATAAATGTGTGTTGATTGATCTGCTCCTGCCTCTTAGCAAAGTAAGTGTTTTTGCTGTTGTTCGATTGTGTCCAACTCTTCATGGTCCACTTGGGGTTTTCTTGGCAGAAATACTCAGGTGGTTTGCCATTTCCTTCTCCAGCTCATTTTACAGATGAGGAAACTGAGGCAAACAGGGTGAAGTGACTTGGCGAGGGTCACACAGCTAGGAAGTGTCTGCAGCTAGATCTGAACTCAGGTCTTCCTGACTTCAGACTCAGCACTCTGTGCACTGGTCAATTAGCTGCCCCAAGATAATTTTAGCAAAGAAATAATTTTAATCATTTCCAATGATCTACAACCAGTCCAAGGAGGTGATTCTTCAGTCAGCTCAACAAATATTTATCACCTATCACCTATACACTATACTAATTGGGATGCAAAGTGAAACATGTCACGGTACCTGCCCTCAAAAGCTTACAGTCACGTAGGACCATGGTGCGAAACTCAAATAGAAACAAGGCCACTAAACTATGCATAAGGATCCCTGCAGGCCTCATATTGTCTTAAAAAACCACATGTTAACATTACATTCTATTATATTTTGGTGGACAGCTAGGTGGTACAGTGGATAGAGGCTAGGCCTGGAGTCAGGAAGACCTGAGTTCAAATCTGGCCTGGGACACTTACTAGCATGACCCTGGCCAGGTCACTTCACCCTCTTTGCCTCAGTTTCCTCACCTATAAAATGAGCTGGAGAAGGAAATGCCAAACCATTCCAGTATCTCTGCCAAGAAAACCCCAGATGGAGTCATGAAGAGTCAGACAGGAATGAGTAACAACAAACTGTATTTTTATTTATTTTGTACTTGAATATTTCCCAACTACATGTTAATCTGGTTCCGCCCAACTCGAAAGTACTGGGGGTGGGGGGATGCAAAGTAGTTAGCCCAACACCAAGTGTTTGACACCTCTGATGTAGGAGCATAAGATATAAATACAAATGACTCTAATACGATCTAGAATGTGCTAGATTTGGACAAATCCTGGGAGAATGCACCAGGCGTAAAAGAGAAGTCAAGACAAGAGATAAGTCATGGCATAAGAGATCTGGGGAGCCTGAGGGCAGAGGGATCTGCAGGGAGCCTTCTCCAAGTGCGAGCTCATCGTCTATGGAATGCCCCCTCGGAGTTCAGAGCTCCTGCAGAGACAGTTTTACAGTTCTGCAAAAACACGTGCAAAATAAATTACAGACAACCACAGGCTGCCAACACATCAGATTTTATTGGAGTCATTTCATCAAGCAGCAGACAGTTCCTTTTGACACCATGCAAGATACCTGTGGCTGTCCATACTTATACTCCAGAGAAGAGAGAAGCCCTGACACAATGCTATCTCCCCTCCCTTACCTCGAACACTGTCTTTGGAAACTGAAGGGAGGTAATCTTTTCCTTCCCCAAATCAAGCTCCATTCCCCCATACAAAACCCCCAAGCTTAATATGTTTCTATCACTTACAAGCAATTTGGTTATACAGTGGTCAGAACACAGGCGACCATCTGTCTTAATGCGTGTATTTCCATTGACTTCAACAAGGATTTATTATGCTTCTACAACATGCTCAGCTCGGTGCTAGAGGCTAGAGACACAGAGCTGAGAACCATGCAGACTGTACCTCTGAGAGAGCTTACAATCTAGGGGGCCTGGGAGCGGGGTGAGAAGGAGCTGGAACAAAACCACAGCTAAGTAGGGTACAAGGGGATAGGGAGGGATGGCAGCCACACTGAGCTTGGATAAAGCGATAGAGAAAAGTGGGAGAAGGTGACCCTTTTAGGACTAGGCCCCCACGGCAAGGTCCGGCTCTAAGACTGACCAGCTCTCTGACCCCCACACCCAGACTGTCCCGTACAGACCCACGGGAAGGAGAAAGATCATCTGACCAGAGAGAAAGGACCTGGGCTTGGCCTGTGTGTCTGAGCAAGGGGCCTCACTTCATCGGGCCTCAGTCTCCTCCTCTGTAAAATGAGGGAGGTGGGGACTGAGCAGTCTCTGAGGTCCCTTCCAGCTCCGGATCCGGTGATTCTGTCTGAAAACAGCTGAGGGAAGCTCCCTTTAGTAGGTTCACAGAATCACAGGAACAAAAGCTGTGAGAGACCCTGGGGAGAGCATTTATCTTACAGATTAGGAAACTGAGTCCCACAGAAGTGAAATGACCTGTCCAAGATTCTAAGGATAATAAGTAACAAAAGCAAGATTCGGTCCCATCTTCTGCCTCCAGAACCAGTTTTCTTCTAGCACACCACACTCCGGTGACCTAGCAATGCTTATCCAATCCCAGTGCACAAAAAACTAGAGAAAGGAAATAGAACCCTTGCACAATGCTGACATTTAACACTGGGGAGCTCACAGAAGAAGAGGAGTGGGGAGAGACTCCAGTCAGTCCGGTCTCTAGAGAAGCTCTGCGGTCCCTGATATCACACTGGTTTTCACTACCACAATGTCAGTCTTGCCGGAAAGCACTCCAGAATTGAATGGCTAAAGTTACAGTTCTACACTAAACACTGAAAAAAATCCTTACTCCCACCCCCCATCCTCTAACCCAATTTATTTTTGCCCCTTCCCACCCCATTTTCTATTCCCAGCAGCTCTTCTAATTTCAGAAGCATTTGAAAGAAGAGACTAATACCCATTTCCTATGGGTCTACAGTTTTCCTTCTTAGGGATACTGAGACCAAGAAGTATCAAAGGAAATATGTCCTAACTGAAGCCTCCCTTCACCCTACCATCCCCACTGCTCTCTTCCCTTTCCTAGTCAAATGCCTGAAGAAAAGCCATCTACATTCACTACCTCCACTTCCTTTACTCTCGCTCCTCTAAGCTGGGAGAGCATCGCTCCTTATCTCTGCTTCCGGGGTGGGGGGAAAGCGTGTTGTAAAAAGAAGAGATATCAATTAAGCTTTTAAAAATAGGCACTACTACTACTACTACTACTACTACTGTTCTTTGAAGAATGACTTAGCAGATTGGTAGGCATTTCCCCAAACCCAGAAGTAGTGACCAAAATATTCATCCACTCAGTAAGCATTTATTATATAAAACACCTAGTATGTGCCAGCCACACAGGTGGTATTATTATGAAGTAGGTGCTACTATTATCTCCATTTTACAGAGGGGTAGTAAGACATTAGGATAGGAGGGTGGACCAGAAAAGAACCTGAAAAGAGCGAGGGATTCTGAGGCATGAAAGGGAAGAGGGAAAAAATTTCAGATAGAAGGAAAAGACTATGCAAAGACACAGAGATGGAAAAATGGCACATGGTAAGAAGGAACAAAAAAAAGCAGGCCTGGAAAGGCAGGACGAAGCCCCTTTGGGAAGGGCCTTCAAAGCCAAACTGAGAATTTGGGTTTCATCCAAGATGCGGCCACTGGAGCTCTCTAAGCACACATCTTTATTTT